GCTCCCTGCTCTAGACCAGGGTTACTCAACTACTGTGCCAAAGACCACAAGTAGGCCCTGGGGTGGTTCTCGGGCCTATACTGAGGATTAGCCAGTGGTCCATAGTGGGCCCTTGATGGCACTTCATCATAAAAATCAGTGATAAAATAACTGACTTAATAATAAGAAAGATTCAAATGGTAAACAATATTTATACAAGTTTGCAACAATGGTGCACAAAGCAGATTTATCTCTAGAAAAAACATTACACTCCCCAACCGTTTCAGTCGCCAACATGCGAGGAACTGATTTATGGCATGAAAAAGCTCCCGTTAGTCTATTCTGGTATTATTTTGATATGTTATGTTTATGTATGATACATGTTGCATACAGTGCCAAACATCGCTGTTCAAGTTTTCCAATAAATTATTTTTTAAGCAAGAAAACTTTTTCATGCTTTCTGGTGACAAACAGGTGGACTTTGAGGTGGAAAAGGTTAAGAACCCCTGCTCTGGACCATAGGTATGTAAATTGGAGGTGTGGCCCCCTTGTGGAGTGCAAAGGAATAGCATGGGGGGACAGGTGAGGGATGATTTGGGAAAATGGCAAATAAATACTTAAACAGCTGCATTTTTGTGATCTGAAATGTAACTAAGTTAGGAACATTGGTTTATTTATATAAAAAAAACATAAATGGTCAAATTTAGTGTCACATGGAAACGTCCTATTAGTAAATCACAAAATCCCAAATAGCTGTGTTTTATGCAAGTACACTGTATTGACTGTCAAAAAAACTGGAAAGGGGGTCTCTTAGGGAAAAGTTTTGAATAGAGCAGCTTTAGACCTTTAGCAGTGGTCAGTTTCTGACCACAGAGCCACTCTTGGCTGGATAATTTGGCTGGTGGACCACCGCTGATTGGATGGCATTACTGCTACTGAACGCTGATTGGTTAGCATTACTGCTACTGAGTGTTGATTGGTTAGCATAACTGCTACTGAGTGCTGACCAGTTAGCACTACTTCTATTGAGTGTTGATTGGTTAGCATAACTGCTACTGAGTGCTGACCAGTTAGCACTACTTCTATTGAGTGCTGATTGGTTAGCATTACTGCTACTGAGTGCTGACTGGTTGGTGAGCTGATCAGTTCACTGGCTGAGTGAAATGGTTCCCACTTACTAACACCATTAACATACATGAGGCAACTGGAGTTCAAAAGCTCTCAAAAATATGACAGTATTTCATGCTGCTCTGTGTTTAGCAATCTAGCACATGATTTTGAATGATTTTCAATGTACAAATGATTAAGAACTTACAAGCTATGATTTTGCACAGAAGCTCCATTGGAGCCCATTCATTTTGGACTTGAAAACACCTACCAGCATCTGACAAAACAGAAGATGTTATTGAGTGGCAATTTTCTGGTCGTAGTACTAGCTAACGTGCTAGCATTAAATAACATTTAATACATGGATCTGCAACAATATTGGTATTACGTAACCGAAAAAAGTGATTCCAAACTTTCGAATGCTAGGGAAGAACAATTCAGGGTTTTAGGATCTAAAACATAACGAAAATATGGACTGGATTATGAACATCTGCCCGGTTGCTCTTCTGAGAGGGCTGGAGGAATTTCAACAATGTGGCGATCATAACTCCACATCGCCCCCTGGCTGTCTGGCCTGCTTACCACAAGGTAACCAGAAACCAGAGAGTGATTTGTCTGCGTTGATTCAGGCTGAGGCCTGTGTGTCTGCTGCCTCTCCGACCTCTTTCTGAACTGTTGTTTACTCTAAGACTCACTGTCACATGTGGCAAGAACTGTCTCAGACGCTGTAACGTTACGCCTTCAGTTCATCACTCATTTCAGTCCGGTCTAATTCGTTAGGAATGGATCTCACCCTGGAGTGTTTCGGAAGGGGGTGTTGGGAGGACTGCTTGGTCCATCGTGAGAAGGGCAGGCTGCTAATGCAGCGCATATGTCCACTGCTGGCATGACCAAAGGCTCCCGAGAGAATGTGACACACCAGAATTTAATTAGCACAATTTATGGGGTCACGGGTGAGAGGAACACTCCAGCTCTGCTTCAGACGGTAATTATAAACAGGCGCATGATTTTACACTAACTCCAGGAAATGAGTTAATATTCTATTTGTCTGGGGTGTGTTTTCGTGGTGGGGGCGGTGTAAGAGACTGGGTGGGGGGTGATTAGAGATGATTTGCGTTTGGAACTATGAGCATATTATGAAAACAGCCACTTTAAGAAACACCAGGAAGTCACACCCAGCAAGCCACAGTGTTTTAAAGGAACATCACATTACGCAATACAAGTTTGATGGAGTGTCCAATTAAATGTCAATTATATTATTATCCACATGCAAAAGCTTGTGCTACAGTTTACTGTGGGAATGAACTCAATAAGCTCATCAAATCAAAGTTAATTGTGATTTATTTACATATTAAATGTTTTTCCAGTGAATTCAGAAGTTTGGAACCTTGTCCGTGTATTTTATTTTGCCTTGTCTTGTCAAACATTTGGAAATGCACCCTAAAACAGATCCTTAAAGTTAACCGGATGTCACAATTGAACTTTTTACTTTTTTAAGTCACACCATATTTTTCATATATAGCACTTGTGCCCACCTCTAAAACGAGTTCTGATTATGGTATCGTGCACGAGGGGGTGGGGAAACGTATAGTAACCAATAATATCACGTTTCACATCCCCCTCCCACCCAGTGGTGGCAGAAGTACACAAATTTCTTAAGACAGTTTCAGACCAGATGTGGTAACCACACCGCATGACACACTGTATATTATATAACGCTCCTATATTCATCCCTGTAGACTTTCACACCAGCCACGTGGCAGCAACACATGCGTGAATCTCACGCGTGGGTCTATTTTTCACGTATGCATTCTAGCAGAACAGAAACAGTTAGGAAATGCAGTGTTTCTGCTATAACCCAGTTAGCATTTTTTCTGGCCCATTCGTGAAGCACATCCTTGAGTTTGTTCTGGCTCAGTATATGCCTGGGTTCCTGGCCCAGATCTGGCCCACACACTATACACAGATCAGGCATAACATTATGAGCACCTCCTTGTGTTAGTGTGTGCTGTGCTGGTACGAGTGGATCAGACACAGCAGTGCTGCTGGAGTTTTTAAACACTGTGTCCACTCACTGTCCACTCTGTTAGACACTCCTACCTTGTCAGTCCACCTTGTAGATGTAAAGTCAGAGATGATAGCTCATCTGCTGCTGCACAGTTTGTGCTGGTCATCCTCTAGACCTTCATCAGTGGTCACAGGACGCTGCTGGCTGGATATTTTTGGTTGGTGGACTATTCTCAGTCCAGCAGTGACACTGTGTTTAAAAACTCCAGCAGCACTGCTGTGTCTGATCCACTCAGACCAGCGCAACACACACTAACACACCACCACTACATCAGTGTTACTGCAGTGCTGGGGGTCCTGACCACTGAAGAACAGAGTAAAACGGGGCTAACAAAGTATCAGAGAAACAGATGGACTACAGTCTGTAACTGTAGAACTACAAAGTGCTTCTATATAGTAAGTGGAGCTGATAAAATGGACAGTGAGCGTAGAAACAAGGAGGTGTAAATCAGTGTAAAGTGAGTAGAACTAATGATTTTGGCCCAAATCTGGCCCAACTACATTGTTGGTCCACAGCACTCATGCCAGAATTCGCCCACAAATATAGACACAAGGGAACTGTATGAAGCTGCGATCTGGCTCGGATGCCCAACATCTGCCCTGCACTCAACCTACACTCAAGTACGACAGCCAGAATCAGCCCAGAGCTGTCTGAAATCTAGGAAAATACAATCTAGGCTAATAAACAAATCGTGAAGGAGGCCTGAAGATCCGAGTGACTTTGACAAGAGCCAAATCGCTATGGCCAGACAGCTGGATCTGAGCGTCTGCGAAACGGCGAGGGTGCTCCTGGTCAGCAATGCTGAGTACCTACCAACAGTGGTCCAAGGAGGTGGTTTTCACACATCTTTGTGAAAACTGCCTAAGTATGTTTTTTGAAGAAATTTCTTCTTAAGAACGGTTGGTGAATGAGGCCCATTGTTCAGGAATGATTTAAAGTAGATAAAGAGTGTAAGGTGTTGCCTTGGCCTCCAAATTCCCCAGACCTCAATCCAACTGAATCTGTGGGATGTTCTGGAGTCTGAGGCCCAGTGGCTTCACCTCACAACTTACAGGACTTAAAGGATCTACTGTCAACGTCTTTGTGCCAGATACCACAGAGCACCTTCAGAGGTCTCGTAAAGTCCATGCCATGGCATAGCGGCATGCAGAGGACCAACAGCAGACAGGTTAGCGTTTATACTTGCTAACGATTGGCCGCGTGGTGAGGTGCCTGAATAGACATTGCCATTTTTTTTTAAATAGATAAATGAAAAGATTAATCAGCAGAAAGTACAGATTTTTTTTGGAAACGTAATAGTAGCTCGTTGCTTATTGTTCTCTGTGTAACTGTTGTTCATGCTGCATTCAGGTCCTGCAACTCATTTTGAATTACTGTTGGCTTCCTCGTACCTTCTTTATCATCCATCCGGAGATGATTAGCTACGGTTCCGTTAACCTTACACTTGCATATCGTCAAACTAATTGCACTGAGAGGGATGTTTACCGCCTCGGTTATGGCTTTGTAGCTTATTTCATTTGATGGTTGTTTAATAATGTCGTCCCTGAGAACTTCGGGAAGCTCCTTCACCATCACAATGATCGCTACTTCATTTTTATTTTTAACCGTGACATTTATGTATATTTCAGTACAGTATCTGTATGTTTGTTCCCTATTAATTTTGTTTTGTTCGTTTTATAACGTCAAAGGACATTACGTGCATCATTTGAAGTGGATATATGCATTGAAAGTATATTAAATAACAAAAGGCGTATCTGAATACTTTCTCCTCGCTGTACAATTTACAGCAGCTTACTATACTATTACTTCACTCTAAAACAGAACAAAACAGCAGAGAAACGACATGTTAATACCAATAAGGTTCATCTTTATTGCAGAGGGCTGTTTCAGTCCAATTTAACATCTCATTTCGTTTAGGAATGAAACGAGGATTACTTCACACACACAAATGCATGTTTGTTCACCTGGTCACTCGCACATACACACACCCTTCACACTCACGCACTGCTGCAGGAGTCGGAGTCAAGAAGCAGAACGCCAACTCATCTGGGCCCGCTTTCACAAAGAGTCTTTCTTTCAGTAGGAGCACAGATCTAGGATCAGATTTCCTTTCTTTCTTAGCCTGGATGTTAAGGCATCAGGTCAGTACGGCCTGGATTCAAATACTACTGAAACGGAATCTTTCTTTTTGGGTCAGCATACTGGTCACTTCAAGCTAGGGCTGCACAATACAGGCAAAGTCCTAATACTGTGATTATACAGCCACATATTGTGATTGCAATGTGCTTTAATAATATATAGAGGGGAAAACCTGATTTTTCTAAATTTCTGCACAATAAAATAGCCAAGATGTCCAATGTGAAATGCTCAGTCCTAAATCATATATGTTCATGGTGGCAGGAACCAGAGGTAATTGTCTCTAAAAGCTCCCTCACAAAGTTATTTCATGAATTGGTTATAAATGTGCTGCATGACTCCTAAAACATCATTTTATGATGGTTCTGAGAGCAAAATTTGGCCTAAAACATGTTTTTAAAAGGTGTGGTGAACATGCAGGGCAGTTGAATGCAAATTAGCACCCAAAGAAACTTTAACCCAACTTCTCCCTAGATTTAGGGCTATTTCTGAAATTCTGCAAAAATTTTTAGAAAAATGGATGGACTACCCCTTCATAAAAGTACTACATTGGCCTTCATTATTTTAACCAATATAATTTACTTTCCTTGGATTATGCGAATACTTTGATTCATCAATAAATCACTTCACTAGAACTGTGATTGGTCAGGATGCTCACAGCACAAAGAAAACAACACTGTGATTGGTTCCAGAGCTAATTTGCATATTACAGCCTTCCGCCATTTCAGTATGACAAAGGCCAATATTGTGATGACGACTGAACGATAAATTTCCGATAGATACGATTCCGAATGCTACTATTTAAGCTAGCTGGAATCAAGACTATTCACACTACAAGCTAAAATGTAACTGATCCAGATAGTAAGATTTGAATTCCGTCGCTGCAAAAATGAATTACTGACTAATCCACGCTCCACCAAAAAGTGCTTTCTTTCATTGCTACTAGTGTCAGTTTGGACAAAACTTTACAGGAGCTGAATTTAATGAGAATCCAGTAATGAGAAATGTTGTTAACACATTTGTGTAGTTTAGCCCTTCAAATAATCCGTAGATCCAGCCCGAAACCCTACAGCGGCGTTTTAGGCCACTGTTAAAAAAATAAAAATAACAGACTTCTAGAATAAAATTGTATTTTCAAGAATAAAATTGTAATATTTCGAGAGAAAAGGCGTAATATTTAGAAAATAAAGTCGTAGAATTACAACATTAAAGTTGAATATTACTGAGAAAAGTCGCAATATTGTGGCCAAAGGGTTTGCAAATGGTAGGGAGCACCTCCTTGTGTTAAATGAGGGAGGTTGAGGAGTTGGTAGTTACACTTCTGTATCGATTTCACCCATAAAGAAACACTCAGTCTCCCTGTCTCTCCTGGCACATCAGCACTAGACTGTTATTAGTATAAGAAACGGCTGAAATGGCTGTGCAAGAAACTGTGTTTATCTAGAAGAAAGAACCAGACGGACTCGGAGGAAATTGTTGAAGAAGAACTCGCAGGCAGGGTCGTCTACAAGACTATCGGTGGTTAAGCCTCCGTGCCATTTGAAGAGGGCATGTAGTTTCATAGGAGGCATTGAGAATGATAATCAAAATGATTGACCCAAAGGAGAGGAACTCCGGCGTGCTCTGTGTCTTCCTCGTCGCCAGTACAGCAACCTGAGGCCTCAATGAGTTATAGCAGCCCCCCTACAATTAGCCCACCTTATCCTCGAAATATTGCAAGTTTATTCTTGTAATTATACGACTTTATTATCAAAATGATACGATTTTTTCTCAAAATATTGGGATTTTATTCTAAAAAATGACATTACTCTCAAAATACTACGACTTTATTCTCAAAGTCTCTTATTTTTATATAAAATGCCATCATAGAAACCCGCCTGCTTGCACGCTTTAACTTGCTATAACTCAGAAACTGAAGTTCTCTCATTCAAATCCAGCTTCTAAATGTCCAATTGCACGGATGAGAAGTTATTTCCAGCTACAGCAGTGGTGAATTTGTTTACCTAGTAGCAGGTCTAACGTAGAAATATCTGTGGGTGGAGCGTGGATCGGTCAATTAGCGAACTATAAATCTGTTCTCATACTGTTCAGCCATTCTCAACAGCACATAGGAACTCGGTAAGTGCCATGCTTTATTAAAAACCACTACCATTCCATCACAAAGCCCAACAAGGGAAACCTGATGAATGTTCTTATGAATTTATCTTGGTGCAAACCACACCACAGCATGGCGTATCTGTTGTATGCAAAATAATGTGTCTTTTTGGTCATGTTGGAGCAAATGAGGTAAGTCGTTCAGCACTGCAGTCCTCTACACTGATATTTTTTTTAAATCTTGCATAGTATAGCTCAGTGGCAAGCACAGGCATAGAAACAAAACTAAGCAGAGCATCGCATTACAAGCCAATGCATTTTCCCTCCTAGTGTGGCTGAAATTCCGCACTGCGATATTCAGTCAAAATATCATTGTGACAGAATAAAAAATGTGTCCTTTTTTTAAATGTGTGCATGTGTGCCAGCTAATGCCTTACTCAGTTTACAAAATTTAAATATATTGATTATTAAACCAATGTATATTATATTTCGATCAGCCTTTGTATCAAGATTTAGCAAAAAAGTATTCTGACAGCACCCATGCAAAAGCCCTGGCAGGAGTTTCACATCATGAAGTATAAAGAGGAAAAAAAAATATACAGATACTCTTGAAAAGCTAGGAACCCTCCTGGTCACTTTGTAGACCATAAAATGCTAGTGTTAAGGCCTTTACACACAGAGCATGATTATTCGTGCGACTGATTCAGACTTCACTAAATTAATTTGAACACGTGTCTATGTGATGATTTTTTACACACCATGCAGGATTTGGTGAAAATGAGCCATTATTTTATTGGCCCTCTGGCATAGCGACAATAAAGCTGACGAACTGGCTGCGCCGCAGCAGCTAGAACTTTTTAACAAAAGTCAAAAGGATAGTGTGTCCCCTGCCTTGTTCCGTGTGGTACTGCCTCAAACTGAGTTACAGACATCAGAGGTGTTTGCAAAAGCACTAATAAAGTTTAAGCAGCTGAAATTTGGTGGTGAAAATCTCCAGGTTCTTTTCCCTTTTCCAAAATGAAAAGTAAGCTGCTCGGAGCTCGGAGTAGCAAATCATATCTGTGTCAGTTCAAGACATACTGTTCGATCAACACGATGGGGAAAAAAAATAAAATAAATACAAATTCTGGGGTGTATACAGTGCTCAAAAGTAGTTCTAGAACACTTCAATCATCTTTTGTTTTCTAGAGTTATTTTTTATGTATTGTGGTTTTAAAATTGTGCTTTACTCTATTCAAAAGTATCATTTCGACTATGACTTATGACTTAAGAGTCCAACTGATAGCAAGCTAGAACACATTCACCTAACCCCCCGTTTTGCTTCAAAATGTTGGGACACTAATCCAAATGTCTATTTCAGATCACACTTTTCTGAATTAAATTAATCTAAAAAAAAAAACAACAAAAAAAAAACCTGTCTCTTGGTAATAAAATGTTACAGATATGGTAATAAGAGTATAAATACGATGAAAATTCCAAAATAAAGAGAGAAAAAAGGTGCTGAAGTGGGGGGAAAGAGACAGGAAATACAGGACATGGTCCAAACCTGCCACTCTGTTCATCCCCACGGGAAAATCCAAAAAGCTAGGCCGAGTAGCAGTTGTGCAACCTTCTGCACTCGATGGCTAGAAAAGTTAATTATGGAGGTCGTTTTGAGTTTGGTTGTTATTACTAGCTGTTATAACTTTTCAGATGGATAAGAATGAGCAAATGATAAATTCATCTTGGCAAATAATGAACAATATAGAATAAAAGATATCCCAAGATACTTCTGAGCACTGTATAGCTTTGAAGTGGACGTGGAGGGACAAACAAAAAAGCTTCTGGATTTTTTTTTCGCGTCATTTATTTGTGGTCTGCGTGTTCACTCCTTAACGACTCTCTGCTAGGTCCTCGGTATGAATACGAATTGCCATCCCCTATTTACTTGCTCTGTGTGTCGTCTGTCTGGAGAATAGTGAAACCATGCCTAGTGCCTTGCTTTAAAAAGTGCTTCAGATCTTTACGCCATTTTCAATTCTGTTGTTCCTCTGCTTTGATCTTTTATTTCGTTGCTTGCTTGTATCTACTTTATTGCCTCAGATGCACCCGGTTTACTCGCTATTGCTCGAAGCTGCACGCAGAAACGCGGCTACAGAACAAATACGTTCTCTTGCAGAGATATTTTCTCTCTCCTCTTAGTGAGGTTAGTGACTTCTGACCTCCCAGTGGCCTTTGGCAATAAAGCTGCGCACTCACAGATTCTTGATCAATCACTGATTGTACTCATCTGTGATAGTGTTTGGAATCTATCTGTGCAATCAACCACTGCAATAACATTCAATCTGCCCTCTTAAATCTCTCAAATAAGAAAAGAGATTGCATCTCTTGTACGTGAAAGTAAGGGCCTTTAGTGATGCTACTAAAACAAACCTGACAGAGCATAGCTGGCTAAGGTACAGAGGCACACCTGCTTTACACTGCAGGAAAAGCCAGGATGATGAACAAGCTGGTGTATGTGGGCTTGATGATTGTATAAGATGTGTGAGTCGGTCCAAGTTTGTCAGCATAGTCAGTTTGATTGAGAAAAGTTTTACTCAAACACAAACAAAAAGAGAACTGCAAATTTGTTGAATCTGAAAAAAAAAGAAGGAATGCATTGGACTGAGATGAATGGAATCAGAGCAGGAGATGAGCAGGTGTTCATCTCTCACTCGCACTCGTTTTCTCCCAGAACGCCGAACATGTTGAGAGTGAAGCCTTTGCTCTTTCGGTCGGACCTCACGCTCTCGTCTTCGTCGTCTCCATCGGCGTCCTCGTCGTCGTCTGCGTCTCGGTCGTCCTCCTCCTCTGGCTCAGAGCTCGATTCGTCCTCCTCCTCGTCCCTCTCGCTGCTCTCCTCCTCTTCCGTCCTGCGGCCCTGCAGAGCCACGATTTCAGCCAGCTCTGGGTGCGATTCCCACTGATCTGGAAACAGAGAGTGCTGACGTTCAAGTACCGATATGCGTTAAGGAAGGGGTTTTTGGTTAATCACAAGGAAGAGTAACTCTGTGAGTAAACTTCCCCCTGTTGGTGGCATAAGTGTTTGAATACTTTCTGCTGGCCAGGACGGCTAATTAGCACGATCAGTTATTAAAGAAATAAAACATACCGAGAGCAGATCCGTGCAGCCCAGATTAATCAGTGTCTGAGGATTATAACAAAACAAATGTGGTGAAAATCGGTTGAGTAATAAGGAAGTTGTGGCTGATTTAATCCTGAGACTCTTCATCTCTCAATACAAGTGAACCTGTTCACAAGCGGATCTTGACCTCTCCAACATGGCAGACGTGCAGACGTATCGCCTCAGATAGAGAACAACAGGCAATGCGGCATCTAGGTATGTATATCTATGGTTTGACCAGAGTAATTCAAAGAAATAAGTGAAATATTGAACAAAGCTTTACTGAACGCTATCTTGCTACAGGGCATGTAGTTCTGATTTGTTTTAAGATCAAACGGAACTCAGTCTGAGGCAGTGAGCGTCATTATTGACTTCTACTGCTGATGAAAAAGAGAATATGCAGGATGCTTGAAACTTAAGTGAGTCAGCATTGTGCTGAATGAACTGCTCTAGGCAAGTCTGGTGTTGCATAACTTGCACACTACAATAAATGTTGCTCTTTTCTTAATCTAATGCCATATCTTCTCGCTACCGAGGACACAGACAGTGATTTCAGTACTTGGTTATTGGAACCTAGAATGGTTAACTGACTAGTCAATTAGAGACTGAATGGCCATGAAACATTATCTGCTCTCATATTCAGACATGAAAACTCCTGAGTAGTTTCAGAGACTGCAGCGCGGTCCTGCAGCATCTTTCCCTGGAGAAATTCCGAGACTAAAATACAGGGGTAATTGCGGTGGAATTATTTAGTTTATTGGGTTCAACAACTACATGTCCAAATATTGTACTGTTCTCTAGGTGTTCTGATTTATTTGATGAAAATTTGATGCTTACTTTAACAAGGTAAAAAGGTCAGCTTCTACTAACTTTGGCAGATATCTTCTTTTGAGACACCACATCTATTAAAAATCGTGTCTGATCTAAAAACTTTGCCATCATTTGTGCTCTACAGGAGTGGTGTTCAGCACTTTGACCCCAGTGATTGCCACTTGTGATGTAATTTGTAGACGGTTGTTTAGCTAAACTCCACAGTTCACATAAATCGACATGTTCCACTCACAATATACTGAATGAAGAAATATATAAGAAACTTGAACACTCAAAAATTAAAGCAAATTCACTGCTCACAAAATGTGACTCTTTTCACACTTTTGATTGGCCAAAAAAAATAAAATAAAAATAAATACTATGTCTGAGGGTTGGGTGACTGAGGTGCTTCTGACAGAGGGGTTGTTTCTCAGAATTCTCTGCTGGCCGTAGACCCCCAGTACAGTCTGTAAAACACTAAATAAAATCATTGTACACACTTAAAAAATTACGGTTCTTTTGCTAAGAAAATGGTTCTATATAGAATCCTGAACACTGAAAGAACCCTTTGCATGATCAAAGGGTTCTCTGCATCATGAATGGGTTCTTCAGATTGATGGAGGATGTGCTGTAAATGGTTCTATATAGAACCATTTTGAAAAAGGTTCTATATAGCACCAAAAAAGGGTTCTTCTATCATTACAACAGACATCGTAACAATAGAAGAATGCTGTGCTACATAGAACACTTCTCAACTCAAAAAGGTTCTATATAGAACAATCTACTCTTAAAAATGAAAAAAAGGTTTTTCTATAGTTACATGTCTAGCTTGTTACAATAGCAGAACCTTTTTGGTGCTATAAAGAACCCTTTTCAAAAAGGTTCTATATAGAACCATATAAAAACACATTCTCCATCAATCTGAAGAATGCTTTCATGAAGCATAGAACCCTTTAATCATGCAAAAGGTTCTTTGAATGTTCATGGTTCTATATAGAACCATTTTCTTTACTGAAAAACCCTCGGAGAACCATCTTTTTTAAGAGTGTAACTGCAGACTTATTATTATTCTTATTATCATTACAGTATTTTTATATGTGGCACTACAGGTTCTCATTTGTTCATTCCATCTCATTAAAATTTTAGAAAAACTCAGCCTAACTACTGTGATGCACACATATGCGCATCCCTTTTTTCAAGATTTAGTTTTTCTTTCTAGCATCAGTGCAATCACATCAAAAAGTGTACAGACCTGCATTTGTATAAGAAACAAACCAAAAAACACAAACAAAAAAACCAAAACAAAACCAAACCAAAATAAAACAAACAAAAAAAAAACAGTGAACCAGCAACATGAACTTAGTGACCGGTTGACGTCTGACCTTTGTTCAGCGTGTATCCTGGTGGCCGGAGACACAGACAGAGACGTCCATCTATGGCCAACCGCAACAGACTGTTGGCTGCCCGATAAACATCGTTCCGTGCTGCCTTCGCTGTTTTATATCCTCTCCTCTCCGCCCACGCTGTTTATGAGTGAGAGAGCAAGAAAGTCAGTGCTAATAAAAAGTATGTTTCATAAAGATATAAACACCATCTGCAAGACAAAATGAATGAACAGAACAACAACTCTGATAGAAATATTTGTAAGCTGATTAAAATCAGTGTCTGTTTAATATCTGTTTAGATATCTTTTAAAGATAAAGATATGGGTAAGTCTGGAGGTTAGAAACTCAGGCTTTTAATATGCGTCGTAAGTAAGACTGCGATAATAAGAACACTACATATGTACCTTCACATACATCCCAGGCTGTCCAGTCGTGATCCTGCTGCGTGCCAGGACTCTGCTCAGGGTGTGTAAGCTTCAGTACAGAGAGAAAAGGAGTGCGCTCACACAGAAAGCCCACTGAGCTGTAGGGCTCCTGCAGCTGGGACACCGGGTAGATACCAGCCAGAATCTGACAGGAAAATAACATCAGTCTTGTCAGATTAGTTTAAGATTAACAAATCTTTAACCAGAACTTTGCTTGTTCGCAAAAGGTTATTTCAGAGCCACTCGGTTCTACCAAATGGAAATTGTTTGCCTTCAGTGTTTTGTGCTTATGATGATTTCAGATCATTTTTATAAACATCAGTGTCAGACTAATTAATGACATTCTATTAAAAGACTGGTTTACCAAGTGACACTGGAGTATTTTCACCTAAAATTAGTTAATGAAGCAGAGTCTTGTTATAAAAATGATAATAGAACATTAGAGTCATAATCAATCTTTTAGTACTTTTACTTTCGATACTTTCGGTACATTTGAAGGCAAATACTTTCGTACTTTTGCTCAAGTGGAGGTCTAAAGGGAGGAACTTCTACTTTTACTGGAGAAATATTTTACCTTGGGTATCTCTACTTTAACTCAAGTACATGATTTGTGTACTTCGTCCACCACTGACCACTATGCATGTTTAAAGATGTGAAAGAAGCCGTTCATGAAACAGGTTCTGTCAAAAGTGACTGCAGGACCAGTGCCTCCTTAATGAGCAGGGGTAAATGGAGCTAAAGGGCTAAAAATGAAAAAACTAAACATGTTTCTAACCATTTGTGTGGAACCTTCCTTTAAGTTTGGAAAGTAGAAGGATGTATTTTATTTAAAAAAACAAAGAAAACTTACTAGTACCTTTTCATTTTTCTATAGCAAAAGGCAGTAGGATGCTAACATTACTGCTACTGAGTGCTGACTGGTAGGCAAGCTGATCAGCTCACTGGCTGAGTAAATCGGTTTGTGCTCATTGATGTCATGAATGTACATAAGACAAGTTATAATGTCTTGAATTTCAAAAATAACAGCTGATGTGTTGAAATATTTTATGCTCATGTGTTCAGAAAAATAGTTAATTTTCCTTTAGAAAAATTATTGAGCATTTACAAATTATGATTTTCCACAAAAGGCCCATAGGATTGCATTCATTTTGGACTTGCAAAGGAGCACCCTCTAGTGTCTGGCAAACCCAGAAGACATTGTCAATTCTTCTCGCTACACATATTCTGATTCAAACTCAACACGTCTGACCATCAGTGGGCACTGCAGGAAACTATCTGGCACCACAGTGTGGCCAAATGATAAAATGCAGATTTTTAAGGAGCTGTACTAGACTCTTTTTTTGTTTTTGCATTAGATATTAACAAATTATTGCTTACTATGTTTTTTAAGAAAGACCCATTATCAATTTTGAAGGAAGAATTTCACCAAACCCTAATGTGCAGTTATTTATCATGGATGTGAGTGGTGTTGTACCTGGAGTTGCTTGTTCACTCGAGAAGGGAAGACGAGTCCTGGACAGTCGCACAGTTTAACAGTGGGGGTGAGGTAGTACGTCTGGAAATATTTTGTGTGTCCAGGAGTCCGAGACACGCTTACAACCTTCCTACCAACCAAACTATTTAACACAGAAGATTTTCCTACGTTGGGAAAACCTGCAAGAGCAGAGAGCACAATACTGTAAATAAAGAGAATGACAACAGCATATATAAAAGATATAAGACTTTAGACACGTATATTGACCTAAAAAATTATTGATAGTAATACATATATGAAAAACAAACCTTTCCAAACTTTAGTCTAGCTTAAACATTCAAACTTCACAATTCCAGCAGAAGTTATGTGTGTTTGGCCTTACCTATGCAACCTAATGTGAGAACTCCATCCTTATAAAGTTCCTGTGTGGGGCTGTTCATTTCCATAGCAACATCACTGTGGTGCTCCATCAGCACTGTGTCTGCCCCATCATCAGGCCAATCCCCTTCTGTTCCCATGGCAACCGCATCCTTCTGTATCTTACTCTCCCAGCTACTTAAATCAACTGGTAAACAAAAACAACCACTGTCATCAGTAAATTATATCTTTATATATCTTTCAATCTTATCCCAAACATCCAACAAGACATGTTTAGCGTCCAAAGATTGGTTCTTTAGTGTTATACTGAATCTACAAGGCTAATGTAGCTAACAAGTAGTACAATTAAAAGATTTAGTTTTTCCTTTTTTTTTTTAGCCATGTAGCTCCATATATTCCTTCAATCTTCACTGCTGCTGAAACTTAGGCCCAGTCCCATTCCACCCCCTGTCCCTACCACTTAGCCCTTAGCCCTCCGTTTTGCACGTTCACATCTAGGATTAGGGTGTCCCAATTTTTGTTGAGATAGAGGGTTAGGGCGAAGCGTTAGGGCTACTTATTGTAGAGACACTCCAAATAGAGACTGGCAAGATGGCTGAGCAAGCGACCAAAGAAACCCACAAATTTAAGTATATTCTCTGTTAAAAAATTACAATAACCACTGTTTAATCTTAGTTTAATGTCATTTCAATGTATTATTGTCCTTTTCTTCATAACAAGCATAAAAAAATCGCTAATAGCATGCTAACGTCTCGGTAGATAGCTAACTTTCCCGTTACACCTTAAACAGTCCCGTAGTTCTGATGCCTAAAGCGCCAGAATGTAACTGCTGCACCATTTAAAGTGGAACAGGAAAATTCAAACGAGAAGCTGGTGAATATCTGACTTCAGCTTCATATCACCAAAGAATTAGTGGTGGGTGATAATAAATAATTGTCATATCCCCCCTCTTTGAAGGCATATGATTCCCTAAATGTAACTAAAGCCCAGCAGTGAGGAGCTGAACTTTACCCTCCTCTGCTGTCACTGCAGACTGCCAGGGTCGCCTACAGAGCAGCGCTAGTAGCTGTTAATGAAGCAAGTTTTTTTTTAATTTGAGGGTCCCATTTCGTAGGGCAAGATTTCAGCCACTAGGGTGACACTCGAAAACAAGGGGTAGGGGTAAAAAGAAGAACTGGGATTGGGCCTTAGCATAGTGGGCATCTCACCCTTTCCTGCCGTGATCTCTTGACACGCCCTCATAATGTGGATTGGTCCTCCTGCTTGGCTCCACCCCCCCTTTCGCCTCATCCTCCTTTTCTGCAGCACTGTGCAAGATAAGAAAGAAAGATAAACAACTCATTGAATACAAAAAAGCAACGCATGGCTGAAAAACGTCTAACCAGGCACAGGCACTTCTTGGATGCATGTGTGATGTGCTCTCACAGGTGCTGTAGGGCTGTCCTGGGTGAGAGGTGAAGCAGACACAGTGTAGGTGAGGAAAGTGTTTGGTCATATAGTGTTTCCATGCCAACACGAGCGGAGCAGGGCACAGGTCAACCTTATTCAGCACCAGAACTACCTGCTTCTGCAGTGGTCCTGTAATGTAGTGATACAGGGCTGGAGGAAACTGCAGCACCTAGACGCAGAAAAAGAGAAAGAAAGAAGAGAGACCAATATTAATTTCGGTTCTTTTCATCACTCTTATGGAGTGAAATACTTCAAAACTATTTAAAACTAGCAGTTTAGATGCTTATGTGATTTATAGTGAATGGAGAAACTGAACTTGCATTTCAGCCAGATGATTTTTCTGTCGTTGCTGCCGTATTTGTGACCGAATTTCTGGCCTCACCAAAATTTCACTTCACTTGGGAGGAGAAATAGACGGTACTTTGCCAATTAAGCCGATAAAATTATCTACCTAGGTAATATGCTTAAATTTGCCATAATATGGCCACATTAATTTAAAGAAAAGTGACTTGTGGTAGAAGCATTCTGTGGGACGTGGGACTTGCCACTGGCACGGAATGAAATTGTGTTTAACATACCACTGGCATGTTCCGGCTTGAGTGGCCTATGCCAGTAGAGAAAGCCAATGATCTCTGTGTCCTAATAGTGAATCACTGCCACTGTGATGTTTTTGTAAGTGCAAGATCAACCGTGGGCAGGTAAAATCAAGGGATTCATTTCAGCCAGTTTAGGGACAGTTAGACAAAGCTGATTAGGCTTTGATCACAACAAACAGGAATGAAGGAGGCTTGTCAGGGTCAGCCAGATTGTTCTGACTGATGCTGGAATTAAGGCTTATTCTAAATATGATTTGCAGTTGAATACATGAAAGAAGGCAATCTTTTCCCTCACTTCTCTTACAGTTATTGCAACCAACAGCTCAGCAAACTGAAGGCATCTTAGTGCAGTCAGTGCTCTATTTGGTCCTCAAAATGGCAGCAATAATACAGTGCAACATCATGAGAAAGCAAGAATAGGTACATGTCCACTGCAGTATAAGAGGACATTAGTTTTAGTGTAATAACAAAAACCTTAATGTTTCGTAGCTGACAGTATGTGAAATATACACGACCGCAACAGAAACTCCCAGCACGGCTCGTTTAGCATAAGCGCTTGAGCAGTGGTTGTTAGAATCTGTCACTGTCTAGGCATGTCAACTATTTAAATGCCTGACAGTCTGTCAGACACATCATACTCCAAAATGCGGAAAACAACCACTCTGTGATTGAAAAGCATCACATGCAGTATTGTTACATCAGCCAGCTCCACCTGCTGGTCCTCTGGGAAACTGTGCTGTCTGAGCTACAAGCCACTTGTATATCATGCCTTGTCTACACAATCATATACATTTCACAAACATTTATAAGTTAGAATCTTCTGAAAACTTCATAATCAATACTCAGTAAAGCACTCACAGGGTGTCTGAGATCCACTATGAGCAGAATGATGTCGGACATCTCTAGCACTCTCCATAACTGTCTCCAAGTCTGGGTGGGAGTAAGAATGAAAAAGAGACAGATGTCAAAACAGGCAGAAATAAAATAGGTCAACTGGCAATAATGTTAAAATCTGCATTATACAAGCTGTAACATCGTGTGATTTTTTTTAAACGTAGTGCTTGAGTATTTGAGCGACAGCTTAATATTTGATATTTATATTGTCAAATATTCTTCAAGATTAAAATTATGATGAAAATCAAACGTCAGAAACCTCTCACTTTCACCTCTCACCTCTAGATTGTGCTCAAAGTGGCTGAGGGTTCCAGGAGGGTTCTTCGAATAAAGAGAGTCCAGAAACTCATGAAAAGATTTCTCCTCTTTTCTCAAAAGCTCTTCTCTCTGCATCCCATAATGCCAGGAGGGCCGCCGTGGGAAATCCAGCCCTGAAAGCAGACACACTGAAACTAAGCAAACTGGAACAGGAGAGAGTGATTTAAGGTGGACGATCCAAATTTTTAGGATTATAAAGCAAACCGATGAACTGATGAATTCATGAAGAACTGCTGGAACTAAATGCTACTTAATAGCGTTCTGGCCTATCAAATAGGTTTCATCGCTCAATGCGGCCAAGATCTGCCTCCTTTGTCAGGAAGGGGACATTTGACTGACACACACTATTTGGTCGCTGTTTTAGCACCAAGGTAGACAATCAAAACGATGCTGCAACGAAAATTTACTTTGGTTCAGTGACCACTGGGAAATGCTGTGTCAGTAACACTAAAGAAAGAACGTATGGAACCGGGGTGCTAAGAACTTAAGAAACTTTTTTCAATCCATTGTCTATGTCCCGCTGAAAGGCATGTTGTCATGGTGTGCAGGCAGCTGCTTGCTACAGATGACTTGCTAATATTTAGCTTCTTAAACTAAAGTTTTTCTCCCACTGGACTGATAAAATATCATGTAATCAGAGTGTAACCTACAGTGGTGTAATTGTCTGTGGACAGACTTTCAAATGAATGTTTATAATAATGTTTTTAAAACTGATATAAAGCAAATAAACCTTGTTCTTCGGGGAAGACTTGGTTGATGTCCATCTCCAGCTCTCTCTCCGGAACTGGTTGCAGAATTGTCTCCCGGGCCATTTTCTTCCGCTTCTCAACCTCTTCTTTGCTCTCCTTCTCAAAGTGGAGGCGGTATCTGAACTCCCCCAACAAAAAAAAAACCGTAAGGTACACTACAGTCTCATATTCAGCCCTTTTGAGCACACAATGGACCACAATGGACTCTTCCTAATTACGCTATACTGAGTCAATCTGTCATGAAATACTACATTTAAAATGGTTCATTATACTGTTTGTTTCAAAGCACATTTGAAAATATTTTGCTTTTCCTTAATTTCTAGAGCAATCCCTGCATTCACCTTATATTTTGGAGCAATTTTGGTGTATACTACACTTTTGAAATACTTTGCACAGTACATTGAGTCTCCAGTTTAATACATCTACCCAGTATCTACTCTCATTGGCCATTTTATCAGGTACAGTTATGATACAGGTGCACTTTTTAGGTTTACAATTATCCACTGAAGCCCATCTGCTGCTTGAGTCCCCTTTTACTAAGACCATAAATGAAAAGGGACCACCATAAGACCACTGCTAACAAGATATTACTTGTCAGTATTCTCAGTGTAATTGCATGGTAGTGTATGAGTGTATCAGGCACAGCATTTTTGCACACATCCAAGGCTCTGCTGGAGATGATTCACAAAAAATCCAACAGTTTAAGAACAACAAGCAACTCTGAGGATTTTAGGTATTTATTTATTTTTTTTTATTAATTTTTACCCGATTTTCTCCCCAATTTAGTCGTCTCCAATTCCACCCGCTAGTTAGGACTCCCCCAATCACACGATACTATCAACGCTAGGAGGGTGAAGGCTAACACAGGCTTCCTCCGAGACCTGTGAAGCCAGCCACCGCTTCTTTTCGAACTGCCGCTCACGCAACGTCATTGGACAGCCAAACGCGCTCGGAGGAAAGCGGCAACCGCCAGATCTGTTACGTCAGCTAACTGACGCCTGCGCTGACTAGCATCGCGCTGAGTGATGGGGGGGAGAAGGAGGGGCCATCCTACCCACCCGGAGAGAGCGAGGCCAATTGTTCTCTCTCGGACTCCCGGCTACGGATGGCTGTAGCATCACCAGGGATCGAACTCGCAATCTCCTGATGATAGGGCCAACGCTTAGACAGTTGCACCACTCGGGAGGATTTTAGGTATTTTAACCGTCTACAGTGCATAATATCACCAAAAGATCCAGGGAATCCAGAGAAATCTCTGTGTGTAAAGGACGAAGCTGAAAACCACTACTGAATGCCATGGCTTGAGATCCCTCAGACAGCACTGCATTAAAAACTGGCAGGCTTCTGTGATTGATACCATCACATGGGCTCGGAATATACTTTTACAAACCGTAGTCAATAAGCACTGTTCGCTGCGGAATTCATAAATGCTTCTCTGGGCTTGAGCTCCTCTGAAATGGACTCATGCACAAGGCAAACATGTATTGTGGCCTGATGAATCAACCTTTTAGACTGTTTATGGAAATAAGGTACATTGTGTTCTCCGAGCCAAAGAAGAAAAACACCATCCAGACTGTTACCAGCATAAAGTTCAAACGCAAGGGTCTGTAATAGTAAAGGGGTGGGGTTGTTAAATGGGGAACTTGCCCTTCTGTGAAGGCACCATTAACGCTGAACACATTTTAGCGCAATATACATTGCCTTCAGGCAAGATCTCCGCCAGGGACATCCATGCTTATTTCAACATAACAACAACAAGCCACGTTCTGCATGTGGTACAACAGCATGGCTCCATAATCAGAGGGTGTAGGTGCTGGACTGGCCTTTCTGCAGTCCAGCCTCATCTCCCATTGAAAAGGTGTGGCGCATTATTAAGCTCAAAATATGACAACGAAGGCCCTGTACGGCTGACGGAAAACTTGTATAACAAAATAGCAAAAATTGTATAATAAAACAGCAAAAATTTCTGCTTTCAAAACTGTTATCAGTTTGAGTCTTCAGTCCCCATACCATTATTAAGTGTTGTTAAAGGAAAAGAAAAGGTGATGTAACATATTGGTAAACATGCACCTGTAACATGTTTTTGGGAATGTGTTGCTGGCATCAAATTTATATATTATATAGTATATATTTTCAAAAAATAATGAAGTTCATTAGGTAGGTGTTTCTGTACTATTTTCAAATTAATACAGATCAAACAGAATTTACTAATCACTGCTTTTTGTTTTTATTAGAATTTCACATACAGTCCCAGCTTTTTTTAAACTGGGGTTAAAGAAGCTGTACCAACAAGTCAGGTGTGTCTAAAAGTGGACAGAAAGCATACAAAGTGCTTAAAACCCCCCCAGCAATACTGACAGCAACAAATCGTCTACCGTCAGTAACTGTAAACCTACAAAGTGCCCCTATATAATAGGTGATTCTGATAAAATAGCCAATAAGAGTACAATGTAGGTGTACACAATAAACCAGCAACTGTGTTTTACAGGCTAGGTCATGATATTAAAGGCTCAAATTTCTTTATAAAAGCTAGTCCCATAAGCCCAAACCCTACTATACTCTTACTACATAAACAAGGAAAACAATCCTACTGGTGGCCACTGGCCAGGCAGCAACCGTGTTCGTTTCACTTCGCCTGCTTAAATATCTCCTTTCTATTTATGCAGACACAGCTCTTGAGTTACGTTTTGCCTCTCGGGCGCTCACCTGTTGGGGTCATAACGGCCGTCTCTGGTGCCAGGCTGCTGGTTGATCTTCCTAATGTCCGTTGTCTCACTGTCCGATGTGTCTGACTGTCTGTCCCGTCTCACTCCCCTCTCCACGCTCGCATTCCGGCTGTTCTGACCTGAGCCTGGATCACCTTCACAAGCGCAAACAGACGGACGACATAATCCGTCACACATTCCTTAAAGACTGCATTAAACAGGCATTTACTGCAGAACACAGTCATTCTGGCGTTTCTGGTGTTAATCCGACATGAATAAGAAGCTGATTTCATTACTGCACTTTGGCAGTCAGAAAATAAAGAGGGTCTCTGTGAAAAGCTAACAAGCAGCATTTCATTAAAAGCGTGTAATACTTGCAGTCTCTGAAGAGGCCCAGCAGCGGTAGGGCCTTTATATTCTGTGCATGAACCCTTGCATTTCAATTCTCTGCTAACATGAATCCCAAAACTGAACACAGTCAGTTCCGTCAGTCATGTGGGAAGATGATGTTTATGTATATTCCATTATAGACTATGATGTCAAATTTACTTTATAAATAATAAGCCATTAGTAGGCAATTCGCATGATGATAATGCACATTTTAAATTGTACTATTGAGCACACAGCTATGAATTTTTAATGAAGTGTTTTTAAAAGTTTCTTAAAGCATTTTCAAATATATACATATGTATAAATGTGTGTGTGTGTGTGTATATATATATATATATATATATATATATATATATATATATATATAAACAAACACACATATAGTCATTCAGAATGGTTTGATGTAAAATGTATAATTCTAGTGAAACTTACCAAGTCAGAATTATTCACAATGTTGGCGACAGGAACCAGCAATCCAAAATGTTTAATGCTTCTAAAAGCGGCCTCATTTAAACTTTGGTTGTGTGCTCACTGAGACACGTATATACGTTATATGAAGGTTCTGGCATAAAAGATATTTTTTTTAAAGCCATTCATAGGAGAAGTGTAGATGCATAATGTTGTATAGCAAATTAGTCCACTGAGCAAACTTACTTTTTCAGATCTACAACTATTTTATCAGTAATTAAGATCACATATAAAAACTCAGAAGACGTGTTCACTGAAGGTTTTGGATAGTAAATAAAATAGCTACAGCAACTGTAAAGAAATCTCAGCCAGCAAGTTTCTCTACAATGCACCACTGCACAAACCGTCAAACCACTCTGAATGACTTGGCATACATCAAGTCTAAATTTCTTGTTTTCATAAAAGTAATTAATCTCTTCTGGACTAGATAGAAAGTTTGGCTAACAAATAAATGGTTTATGCCCAGATAAATAGCTTTTTAAAGGGGAATTCCAGTCATTTTTGTTTTGTTTCTGCATAATTCAGTCGCTGAGGTCTAAACAAAGTCATTCAGAGGGTTTTAATGTGAAATGGTTCAATGTAGAGAAGCTTACAGCAGTGGTGATGGGAACCAGGTGTCAGCAATTTTATTTGCTATAGAAAACAACCCAACCTTGTGTCTTCAGAGTTTCTGATGCTGGTAAAATAGTGGTAAGATATATTGATGTACTATTTCGCCTTACAACATCCTGCACATACCTCTCTGCCATGACTATATCGCTGCTGTCGGAAGAAAATCTTGTTTCTTCATTTTCGTTGTTTTTCAGTTTTTGACATAATTTGAAAATGCCTGTTGCTCTTTACATTGTGTTTATATTTCATGAAGAATGGACCAAAAGAAACGGCCCAAAATGACTTGGAAAAAAGTCTGGTTCCATTGACTTACATTAAAAAGTAGGTTTTTTCCTTGTCTTGTAAAGTCATCATTTTGGAGATACGAGGTTTTCTTCCGACAACAGCGATATTTTTAAAAATACATTTTAGGCCTGAACTTAACCTCAGAATTGTCATAAAACAATCCGTCAGGCATTTTAAAGGGATGAAACACTTTGGACGTCTGGTTCCCATCACCACTGCTGTGCACAATTCTGACTTGGCACGTTTCTCCCGAATGGACGATTTCACATCAAACCTCTCTGGGCGACTTTGTTTACATCTCAAAGACTTAATTATCCAGCAATTCTGAAAAATCGGTGATATATGCCTTTAAAGACGCATTTACAAAGCACTGCACTCCAGCTTTGCTTCATCGTTACATAACTCCGCACTGAGTCTGCGCAGTGCGCTCCGCTAGTCCGCATTACCCAAACACTGCTGATGAAGAAGACAAACCACGTTACACTGCTCGTTCCACTCTATACACAAACAACAAGGACAATTTCAACATTATCTTCAGTCCACATGCAGAAATAAATCTGCTGTTTAAAGCTGACACCAGTTAGGTTCTCGCAATTCCTCCTATAACCCAGTACCTCACTTGTCTAAGTCTGTCAGTCAGTTTTTGTGATGTCAGTGGTTGTTGACAATGCTGTCCCCGTCTTTTCTGTATTGTGTCAGCTAACATTAGCTAACTAAGCAGCTGGCCTGAAGTCAAAACAACCAGACAAACAAGTTAGCAACGCGTTTCTCTGAAATCTAACCGTACAAACAACACGAGGATGAAGTTGGTTTCCTATTCGCCAGCTTGCTGTTCGAATTTTCCAGTTCCACCTTAAATGGCGCAGCAGTTCCATTCTGGCGCCTCGGGTTCCATTAACCTACCTCAGGCGCCAGAATGGAACTGCTGCACCATTTAAGGTGGAACGGAAAAATTCGAACAAGAAGCTGACTCCAGCTTCATATAAACAACTCGTTCGCCTTCACAAAAGACTAGCAGTAAACACGCTACGTATAATGTAAAGCTGAGCCCCACCAGCTTCCACACTAACGTTAGCTAACCGTTATTTTGAGTTCAAACTTCAACGACACTCACCTCGTTTTCTCTCCCGCTTCACTTGAAGCTGTTTCTTTTTCTGTTTGTTACTGAACGGCTTCCTCCGAGGCATGTTCGCCTAAAGAGAAGTAAACAGCGAAGACACCACCACTGTACTTTTTTTTTGCAGCTGTTCGGTTTAGTTTAGCCTTAGTTTTGTGTTTATTTACGGCGGGTGAAGTTTCTCCGCCACTCTAACGCTACGCATGCTAGCTAACGTTACTTTTTCTCTGCGACGCCAAACTACAACCAAACCAGGCGGACCCTACCACTTTTTCACTTCAGCGCTTTATTTAAGCCTACGTTATTCTAGTTGAAGTGTGGGTACAAAGGTTCCACTACATAATGTGTTTTGTTTCCACATATTTTGGAGGAAATTCCCCTTCACCGTTTGGATCTCAACGAGAAATCACTGCCGCACATCCCCCCCTACCTCAGCGCAGTGGTGGCGTCCACCCGTCATTGAAATAGCAACCAGCTAACTCCAGACAGTGAGTCCATGGGAGGAAAGAGGTGAATCACGGTTCACTGGAGACAACGAAGGGGCGGTCAGTCAGCTATAAATAACAAATATCGACTATGTTGTTACAAGGTCAAAGATTTTGTAGGGTCACTAGTAGGCTAAGAAGGTTTGCTGCTGTGGCCGGATGTGTTCGTCCCAAAGTTTAACTCTCCAGCCTTATACACTAACGTACGTGGCCAAAAGTTTGTGGACACATGACCATCACACCTACATAAGCTTGTTGGACATCCCCTTTCAAAACCATGGCCGTTAAAATGGAATTTGCCCCCTCTTTGCAGATATATCAGCATTCACTCTTCTGAGAAGGCTTTCCACAAGGTGTGTCTGTGCCCATTCAGTCAAAAAGAGCATTTGTGAGGTCAGCTACTGATGTTGGATGAGAGGGTCTGGCTCACAATTGATGTTCCAGTTCATCCCAAAGGTGTTCAGTGAGTCTGAGGTCAGTGCTCTGTGCAGGCCAATGGAGTTCCTCCACACCGAACTCGTCAAACCACGTCTTTACGGACCTCACTTTCATGTGGGGTTTTAAAGGGGTGGCTGTGGTGGCCAGTTTCTTTCCCTGAAATCTAATAGGCCCTTTTCACAAGACACAGAAGTGCATAAATGCTGGGTAAAACATGTTCCACTGTTGCTTTACGGCAGTTACTAACCTCAGAAATACAGGCGTTTGTATCACTTAAGCTCACCACAGAAAATGTGTCACTTTATCTTTGTCACAGTTAAGATTGGAATTCAAGGATGTGTCCAGAATGGTTAGAGAACCAAACATACAACAGTGTGGGAGCCCAGACTAAATAAAGGATATAAATGCTTCGTGGAAAAGTTCCTTCACAGCTGTCAGAGTACAATAATGTCAGCTAACGTCTTCAGTGTGATAAATTGATGGAAAGGTGAAAATAATTGTGAATACATTACCCGATGCCTGGGACACTGTTTTATGATAATTTAGAGAGAAAAAGTTTTGGCCTAAAAACAAACTTTTTAAAAATTATATTCATGGCGCAGAGGTTCATGCAGGGTGTTGTAAGGAAAAATAGTCCCCAAAGAAAACATTTTTCATCACTATTTTACTGTCATCAACTTTACATATAAAAACTCAGAAGACTCGTGTAGGTTCACTGGACAGTAAATAAAATGTCTATATTTGTGTTGTAGACATGGTGACCCCTGGTTCCTATCACCACCACTGTAAAGAAATCTGAGTCTCTACAATCAACCATTTCACACCAAACCCCTCCGAATGACTCAATGAGTGAATTATGGTGAAAAAGAAAAATTGGTGATCGAACAAATGTTAGCTTGAGATTTAGCAATATTTTTAAGTAGGCCTGATGTGAGAACCTGTAGGAGAGCTTCTAAAAATGGGTTGCTTTTTAGTTCCAAGTTCTTTCTGTGTGATAACAGGTGGGCGGACACAAGGGACTATAACAAGGCCTCTAAATATGTTCATAACTGTTTTTATTTGCATTTTGAAAAAGGGGAATAATTCACTCTATTTTGATCTTATTAATGTCTATTAATGAGGCTCGGGGTCCATCACAAGAGTTGTTAATACTAAGATGAAGTAGTGGTAGCATAACAATAGTGAGTGCATCATCATTCGCACAAATGAATAGTGAGGACGATTGTTCGTGTCAAGGACATTCATAGAGCTTGAGGACTGGCTAGCGCTCAAACCTCTTTTTTGTACCATTAATTTCTTGAACTCGCACACATACACACGATATACTAGATATCCGGATATACTTACTTTGTTATCAGCATGACTGAAAACGGATTTCCCTTTTTTTTTTTTAGATAAATTGACAGGACCACATGCATATTGCGCAACATATCAAAGATGTTCATACATATTGTCTGACAACAGCAAATATAGAGGTCATAGTGTAATAACAGTAGATAGAAATATCTACAGAAGACTGAAGCACTAAATTAAATTAAAAAAAAAAAAAAAACTTTCAAAGGTCTAGTCATAGACTGGAAGTAACTGGAAGTGACCTATGTAGTCATGGAAATAGCCAGGTCTTTCAACAAAGACTTAAAGGGGAATTCCACCTATTTTTCAAAATGCCTGTATAATGAAACAGATAAGGTGTAAACAAAGTCGTTCAGAGTGGTTTGGTGTGAAATGCTCTGTTCTAGAGAAACTTACCAAGAGATTGCTCACAGTGGTGGTGATAGGAACCAGACGTCCACCTCTAAAAGCTCCCTCACAGAAAGTTGTTAATGGTTGTGAATACGCTGCCTGATGTCGAGACGTTGTTTTTGATAGTTTTGTGAAGTTCTGGCCTAAAATGTATTTTAAAATCGATGCATGGCATTGTTAGGAAAAACAGTCCTCCGAGAAAACTTTTGATTTCCAAATATTTTACCATCAATATTATGTAGACAATTTTACTGGCCATTATGACTCCTGGTTCCATTCACCACCACTGAACCACTTCACATCAAACCACTTTGAAATACTTTGTTTATTTTGAAATTTGGCTGGATGTCCTCTTTAAACAGGAAGATCAAGATATTTGTGTGAAAAATAATAATAATAAAAAAAAAAATCTTCAGACATTGCTTGTTTCTTGGAACACAAAAGCAGGCCTTGTAAGGAAATTCCTTTCCTTTCACGCAGCTTCCATTTATACAGTCTTTGTGTTCGTATCTCTGTTCTACTCCAGGTCCGTCCCGCCTCATGAATTGAGGTGTTCCACCTGTATGGCTGAGGTTTCTACGGTGGTGCAAAGGTCTTTGTGAGGGGAGATGTCAGCCACGCTGACTGTTTTATACTGGATGTCCGGCGGCCCCACTGGTTTGTACTGGTGCAGGTCGAAAACGCACGGGACGCCCTCCGGTGGAGGGTAGGCGTCGGTCCTCTCAGGCCGGTTCTGAGCACCCCCTGCTGGACCTCCTTCTGGGCCCCCTCCTGCTCCGGCCTGGCCGGGACTGTGGCTCCGCTGGGCTGCCGCTGGCGGAGTGGGCACCAAGTCTGGTGAGTGTTTATGCATGTGCTTCATCAAGTATGTCTCCTGGTGGGCGGGTGGACAGGGCAATTGCTAGTTAGACAGAACAAATCAACACTCTGACATATCTGGGGATACTGTCAGTCAGAAAGGAACAGTTTGCCAAAAAAAATCTAACATACATGAATTTCCCCCTTTTACCCCAAATGTAGTCAGTCAGCCAAAACTCGGGCCCGATCCCATTCCTTATTTTTACCCCTAACCCTTGTTTCAGTGTCTCCTTGCCCCTTGGAACTGAGTTACAAGGGGTAGTGGTTGAAATCTCCCCTATGAAATGGGACCCTCATATAAAAAGAGCATTACTTCATTAACAGCTACTAGCGCTGCTCTGTAGGCGACCCTGCCAGTCTGCAGTGACAGCAGAGGAGGGTAAAGTTCAGCTCCTCACTGCTGGGCTTTAGTTACATTTAGGGAATCATATGCCTTCAAAGAGGGGGGCAGTTATTTACTATCGCCCACCCCTAATTCTTCAGTGATATGAAGCTGAAGTCAGATATTCACCAGCTTCTTGTTCGAAGTTTCACGTTCCACCTTAAATGTTGCAGTAGTTACTTTCTGGCGCCTCAGGCATCAGAACTGCTGCACCATTTAAGGTGGAACGGTAAATTCCGCTTGCTACCTACCGAGACATCAGCCGACTACTAGCGATTTTTTATGCTTGTTATGAAGAAAAGGGCCATAATACACCAAAACAACATTAAACTAAGACAAAACAGTGGTTATCATAATTTTTAATGGGGGAAAAAACTCACATTTGTGGGTTTCTTTGGTTGCTTGCACAGCCATCTTGCCTTTTTTTCTTAATACTAAAATAATAACACTCTGTTTGGAGTGTCTCTGAAAAACCTGTTTGGAGGGCCATGTAGCCCTAACGCTTCACGCCACCCCTCTATCTCAACAAAAATCCAGACACCCTACGCCTAGACATGAACGCGCAAAATGGAGGGGTAGGGCTACGTGGTAGGGGCGAGGGGTGAAATGGGACTGGGCCTTTGGTGTCTGAAGTTTGCTTCTTTAGTTTTGAACTGGAGCTATGAAGCTAATACAGTTAATAGAAAATGCTCTGTCCTGGAGGGCCACTGTCTTTTCAGAATTTCTGCTAAATTCAGTGGTTGAGATGTAAACAAAGTCAGTGCTTTGTTGTGAAATGGTGCATTGTAGACAAACTTACAGACTCATATGTTTACAGTGGTGGTGATAGGAACCAGAGATCACAAAGTCTGCAACGCAAATAGAGACATTTTACTTACTATCTATCACTGTCCAAAAAAAAGTAAATAAATAAAATAAAAATGTACTTTTTCAATGAAAATATCTTTACATTCACTTTTAATGGAAGTTAATGTAAAGACATTTATTTCAAGTAATGTGGGAGCATTTCTATTTCTTTATGAAATTTTCACACAATGTAAAAATCGGAAAAAAATGTAGATAAATGTTTTTTTTTCTATAGCAACGATATTTAACGTTGATAATTGCTAACTGTGATAAACAGTTTTCTTTGGGTACTATTAATGCCCTGTACCTCTCCACCATAAATGGATTTAAAAAAAGCCAACATCTCATCTCAAAAACGTTTGTCGTCAAGAATTATATTCATAACTGTTCTCTGTAATAAGTTTCTGTGAGCTTTTACAGGCTTTGAACTATTCAGACGTCTGGTTCCTATCAACACCACTGTGAACAATTCTGACTTCATCAAACCACCACATTTTTATGGACAACAGTATGTCATACAGTGTCAGAAACCACATAAGCAAGTCTATCTGAAAGGACTTAAGACCTCAACATGGCTTGAGTCGTGTGTGATGAATTAGGCATGCTAAGCTAAGCTTTCGGCACTTGTTGGTTTAGCCCTGTAATCTCCAGTGCAAAACTGACGAAGCAAACTTGGCTTGTTTAGTTTTGCTTGTCTTGGCTGAGTACATTTGGGTTGAGGTGGGAAAATTGCAGAAATTTGATTTTTTGTCAAACTGTTCCTCAACAATGCTAAGATTCAGGAGCTGGTCATACCGAAGTGTAGGTGCGATTGCATAGGCCACAGGAGTAGAGCTTGGCATGTTTCACCGTGTGTGTCGACAGATGAACCTCAAGACTTGCTGCGTCAACATAGCCGCGGTTACAGTGGTGGCACTTGTATGGCTTGTCTTTGTTGTGCTGACGGCGGTGAGACTGTGAACAAAGGACAGATCATTAAAGGAGGAGGCCAAGATCTCTAAACCAAAGCTCAATCTGTACTATATTGTTAATACTGCCATTTGCCCAGTGATGCACAGTTTACTCTATTTTAATTGTACCCACGAAACATAAAACTCTGACTGATGAGTGAAAATCAAGAGCATTAAAAAGGAGGTTGACCCCCTTTACTGCAGTAACAGCCTCTACTATTCTGGGAAGAATTTACACTTGATGTTGGGACATTGTTGTGAGGATTTGATTGCATTCAGCCACAATAGCATTAATGAGGTCAGGTACTGATGTTGGATGATCAGTTCTGGATCACTTCAACTCTTTCCCAAGGTACTGGATGGAGCTCCACAGACCAATGCTGAGGGGATTTATACTCCACTAGCCCACCTTTGACACTGAGTATGTTGACTTCAGGCTCATGTACAGCTGCTACAGAGTGACCTGTTGTATTGTCCATGCTTTTCTATGGCGATTATACATGCATTTGAACTCTGTGTCAGCATTAGGTGCACCTTAATGCACCTGAATTCACTAACAAGAAGAGACGTCCACAAACTTTTGGACATATAGTGTATATGTGCATTGATTTAAAGACATTACATTAAAAGTTAAATTAGATTCATTTATATCAAATAGTGTAAAAAAAACATATAGGTAAGTATAAATGTTTAGGTGTAATCATATTTGTCATATGTTTTATGCATATTAGGAATAAATGACTCTGTGTTATGAACAGCGATGGCTCGTTATCTGTACCTGAAGGTTTGACAGCTGAGTGAAGGCTTTCTCACAGCCTGGGTGGTTACACTTATACGGCCGGTCTCCCGTGTGGATTCTGCACAGAAAACAAATTCATCTGGGAGTTAATAAAGAGCGTTTTGAAAGAATGTCTTTTAATGTGTGTCACACTTTCACTTTTGGTACAATTCAGAATTATTTTCAAAAACACACCAACACACAATGTGGTTGGAGGTACTATTTCACCAACTCTAGTCCTAATGTTGCGGGGCCAGACTCCTAATTAGAATGTCTCACAGGGCCAATTTCATAATGGAAACGTCTGGGAAAACTAAGAAATTCTGAGCTAAATGTTGGTGGGACTTATCAAAGTGGGAAACAAGTAAATGTGAAATTTCTAAACCAAGTCAATGCCTTCAGAAATAGGCGGTGATGGTGCTCATCAATTTTGTCTGATGGACAACAAGCCTGTCGTTGGCCCATGGATGTTCATTAACTTAGCATGACTGAAAAGTCCCTCCAAAACTCCCAATAAACATGTCGCTGCTGTCGGAACAAAACCTTTTATCTCCAAAATGGTAATTTTACAGGAGAAGGAAAAAACCTTCTTTACCTTTAATGTAAGTCAATGGAACCAGAAATTTTTCCCCCCCAAGTAATTTTGGGCTGATTCTTTTTGTCAGTTTATCATGAAATTTATATACAATGTAAAGGAGAACAGGCATTTTCAAATTATGCCAAAAACGGAAAAACAACAAAAATGAAAATAGTAGGTTTTGTTCCAACAAACAGTATGATGTAGATGTGTCATGTGTGCAAATCCAAAATTGAGTGCATACTTAATTATTCATACATAATTCAAATATTAGCATTCATGATTGATGTAATTTAACCACCACCTTCTAATCAATGCTTACTTTTTCATAGTAGCTACAGAACAATTTTTAACAGTTACTGAATAATAAATCCCACCACTTAGCACAATGTTAGCCACCACTTAGCACAATGCTAGCCACCACTCTGCTACACAACGTGATCATCTATTATCTGATGTAACAGAATTGGCAGTTAGCGTTCTCCTCCAAGCGTGCTGAGCTGTCCAGTTACATAAACTGACATGTTCTGAGCGAGGTCCTTGGTAGCGCTGTCCTTTGAACGTGCCAGAAAGAAGTCGATATGAAATTTGATTTAAATGAAATTTGGTTCAATTCTATTACTGTTTAGATTTTAGTTTTACTTTTTTACAATCCTTTTACTTGACTAATCCTAACCATAACCTTCACCTCAACCCAAAACCTAATCCTAACCCTCATATGTTTTGGACATGTTACTGAGAGTCAGTTGAGTGTTTGTTTCATCCAAAAAGAACCACTCAAAATAAAGTGTCACTGATACTTGTTAATCGGCTTTAACTACTATATCTTTGTTTTATTTATTCTGTTGTTCCCCTTCTTAATCAAATCTTAATAGTTCTCTTATTTTCCTTCTTATCTTGTTTGATTTTGTTTGTTTTGGTCATGTAGTTCTGTTCATTTTAGTTGAAACGGATTAAATTCCATTTTATTTTATTTCCTGTTGTTTGCACTGTAAATGCTTAGCTGCACTGAAAACGAGGGCCACCCTCGATGTGTTTCCGAGCAAAAAAAATAAAAGTCGACTGGTTGATTGGTTGCTCTAATAGTCACTGTTTGACACTGTTAGGTTCATGGCGGTTACAGAACAATTTAAAGCAGTTACTGAATAAGAAATATTAAGATTAATAACTAAATAAAGTCCAGACTGAGACAAGAGAGAGAGATCTTACCTGTGATGCTGCTGGAGGTGGCTGAGCTGCCTGAAGCTTTTCTGGCAGTAGGTGCAGGTGTAGGGCTTCACTCCCGTGTGGATTCGCACATGCTGGGCCAAGTAACTGGTGTTAGCAAACGTCTTCGAGCAGTGAGGACACTTATGGGGTTTGGATTCAGTGTGGTTTCTGTATGGAGAGAGAGAGAGAAAAAGCGAGAAAAAGGGGAGCGGGTTCAACAACAGTCTCATAAATATGCAGGGCTTTTGCTGAAATTAGTACCCATAAATGTGATGTGTTGTGCACATGACTTTAACATGGCCTCATGTCCTGAATCTCATTCACACTCCTCCATAGCTGTGCTATGTTAATCAACTCCTTCCAGCCTGTTGCCACCTACCCTAAATATTTACTGTCACACAGAAAGCTCTTCATGTTGCCTTTCAAGCGTAAACACACAATATGGTATTTTTAGCTAGAACAAAAAAGTTAACGTTGAAAAAGTCCACGTCTGTTAGCAGTTTGCCAGTGTCGAGCTGTGAGAAAGCCACTTCTCACCTAAACATGTGTTGCGATATTCAAAAACACTGTGATCAGTGATGTAGGTGCGAACTTAAAGCGATGCCACCCCAGACGTAGTTGATCAGCAAGACATGTTTGGTGTCTGAAGTTGGCTTCTTTAGTTCTGCACTGGAGCAACAAGGCTAATGTGGCTAATAAGTAATGGAAGCTTAAAGCCAAGCCAGTAGCAAGCCTAGACCACTGCAGATCATGCTGTTATCACAGTTTGTCCTCTTGTTTCATTAAGTTTACCTAAATGAAATCAGGGAAAGAGGAAATGACCTTTTTTTTACAGCTGCATGTCGTTTACAATCACCTTCAGCTTTACTCTTCTATTTTATGAAACTATTGGTATTATATAGCCAAACAACCTTTGAAGGCAAATGTGTAATGATTTACGCATGTAGTTTGAATAGTGCTAACATGGTGGGGTGTATTTGTTGGCGACATTGGCTTTGTCGTTTTTAATGTTTTCAGTTTTAAGCTTGTTTACACAATTATACTAGAACCATATCAGTATCAGCAGATAACCGTTAATGTATTTGAGATGTTTAGACATTTCAGACCAATATTGATGCGTTTATTGTATTCGGGAAAAGCAGAACATTAAGGTGACTCTGGGTTATTATGGTAAAATATCTGCATTTTATTCATTTCTGCATTTATAACCCTCTACAAATAAATGTTACAGTATACTGAAACACTAATCTAGACACCAATGTATTTAAATGTGTATATATCAGTATTGGCATCCACCAATATGTACAAGAACTGTGCAAAAGTCAGAGACCACCAGCCACAATGACCATTAAGTAAGTTATTTATGAGGAGATCAGACACAGAATTAACAGTACTTAAAGCTTTCATCTTTGAGAGAGAGGAGAAAATTAAGCTCCACCCTTGCTTCAGATCTAAAAGGAAAAAAAAAACTCCACAGCCATCCTTCCACTGTGAGAAGACGACGTAACGGAAGACGACGTAACGGAAGACAACGTAACGGATCTTTTATGTTTCATTTTGACACATTTACCACATCACTGAGTGGGTTTACATGCACTCAATAATCCGATTGTGATCAGATTTCTGCAGTTATCTGATTATTCAGATGGTCACACTCTGATTTCTTTGATCTAGAAATCCAATTAAGAAATCCTATAGAGAGCTGAATTTTAGCCCAGTAATCAGGTTTCTCAGTGCATGTAAACTCTTACTCTGATTTCTTTCTGAGTTCTTAGTCTGTGACCGGAAATAAGCGACCAGCGTTGCCGCGAGATGCAGTGAAACACTTTTGGAGCGACACTGAAACCAACCGCATTTTCAACAAAATGAAGGATTAAATATTGTAATATTGAAATATTGAAATATTTCAGGTAAAGTGGCGCCATGTTTAAAAAAAAAAAAAAGCCGCAGTATGAGGTCACATCACGTCTTCTTCTGTGAGTTTATTGGCAGGTTGCAAAGCAGAAATCTGATTACTGTCTGACTCATGTAGACCTGGAGTTTCCCCATTACCTGACTACTCAAGTGCACGTAAACGCGTTGATCGGATTACTGACAAAATCTGATTTTCTGCAATTATCGGATTATTAAGTGCACGTAAACACACTCACTGTTTAAACACAATCTCATATGTGCATTACATTTCACTGTTTGGGATGGATTTCAATAAGGTAAATACATCTGAAGTACAAAAAAAAGGTGAAGCACCGTAAAAACACTGTGGTGGAGGTTTTACTTTTCATTTTGGTAGTTATTCCGCATCCACTGTGCACTGTATTTCACGGTTATGACTGCACTTCAATGAGGCGAATCCATTTAAAGTACCTCATGGTGGAAAGCATAGCTGTGGGTTGTGGTCGATTCTGACACAAATTAAAGTACTGTATTTTTTAAATTTAAATCCTCATGCGTTGTTTTGCCGTAAAGAGGTAAAGCGAGGCAATAATTATGTTATGCTTTTTCATTTTGGCATGTATTCTGCCTGTCACTGGAAAAGTAATGTCATGTGTGCAATGCATTTCATGTGATTGCTTTTCAATTGAACTCAACTCATTCATCTCCATATTTAATTGCCGTCTTGACTGGAAATTAAATAAATGTCACGGTGGTCTCTGACTTCTGCACAGTACTGTATGTGAAAAATACCAGATATTACTATCGGTCCATCCCTCGTCTGAAGCAGGTCTGCTTTTTCCTCTTTCTACCTAACGCTGGGGTGAGGAGTTGTGTTCTGGTTCAGCTGTTTGTATTAGGTGACTGTAAGGCCAGTTATATCTCCTCACCATTAACCTTAAAATCTCCCCAAACCTTCCACCTCCAATGATTCCACAGAAAGTTCAGCAGGGCACAGGACCCTCCAGTGACCTCTATTTCAGAGGCTTGGAAAGGTGTCAAAGTGCAGCACACACACACACAAACCCACACACACATACACACTACCTGCTTGCCTTGCTCTGTGAACGTGTGCGTGTGTGTGTGTCAGAGAGTTAGATATCTAGAGGGTGCAAAAGGTAGCTGAGAAAAATGACAGGCTTGAATAGTGATAGAAAGTGTGACAGTGAGAAAACAGGGGAAACAAAGGGAAGTTAGAAATAGAACAAAGGACAGAAGTTGTGAAAGTGCTCTAACAAAGAGATGAACTTACACACATAATGAGCCCTCTGGATTCACTGATTCAGAGCCTGATTACCAGCATGATGTCTCAGTGTCTCATACAAGTTGCTCAAATGCAGTCATTTCAGAATATTCGGAGATGAAAGTGTTCCATCTGTCAATGAGTGTTTACATGCACTCAATAACCCGATCATAATCGGATTTCTGCAGTTATCTGATTATCAAATGGTCATGTAAACAGCACTCTGATTATTTAGATCGGAGTAAGGCCTAAAAATCTGAATAAGAAATCTGATCAAAGAGCTGGATTTTAGCTCAGTAATCAGGTTTCTCAGTGCATGTAAACTCTTACTCTGATTTCTTTCGGATTTCTCGGTGTGCGCATGTGTGAATACGGACTGCGGTACCGGAAATAGGTGAGCAGCGTCGTCGCGAGACGCAGTGAAACACTTTTGGAGCGACGCTGAAACCGACCACATGCTTGACGAAATGAAGGATATAAATATTCTTAATCTTCTAGATGATGTATGTTCATATTTTCAGGTAGAGTTTTACGTTACGTTTACGTCACGTCTACTTCTGTGAGTTTATTGGCTAGTTGCAAAGCAGAAATCCGATTTCTGCCTGACTCATGTAGACCTGGAGTTTCCCTATTGTCTGATTACTCAAGTGCATGTAAACGCGTTGATCTATTTACTGACAAAATCAGATTTTCTGCAGCTATCGGATTCTAAAGGGCATGTAAACGCACTCAGTGTCCCTGCTCCACCCTCTAATGCGATCTTTTGTAGCTTTGCAGAACAACAGCAAAAATGCTATCCAGAGCCTCAACTTCATGAATAACTGTAGCGATATTGATTTAGGGGAACTGCATGATGTTGAGTTTCCAGTTTGAAAAGCTATGCTGCTAAGCTGGACTATGCTGCTGGAGTTAATCGAAACAGGGCAACTGTGATGAACAACGTTCAATGCCAGTTACACTGGCTACCTGTCCTGCTTCGTATCCAGTTTGAAGTCCTCCTGCTACATACAAATCTCTACATGCTCTACCACCAGCCTATCTAGCCGAGCTCCTGCACCCTTACTGCCCTGCCCGAACACTTATGTCCACTGACTCAGGTTATCTTGCTGTCCCAAAATCTAGACTGGTCACTGTTGGAGGCAGATCTTTCAGCATCACGGCCCCCAAACTTTGGAACACATTACCGCGATCTCTCCATGACTGTCCCTCACTTTCCTCCTTTAAAGCTCAGCTTAAAACCTGCCTCTTTTCCCAGCACTTTCACTCTTTTTGTTCCCCTACCTCTGTAAAGAAAGGCGCCATATAAGTTGAACTTATTATTATTATTCTCATCAATAACAACATTAGCTTGATTACACAGACACAAAAATGTGACTATTCACGGGCAGACAAAATGAAAATAATTTGAAATTAAAATCAACCTGAAATCATTTTTCACAATCACAAATAACAGCACTTTTTCTTTCCCGCAATAACTATCAGTCCGCTGAGCACCGGCTGCAAAGTAACTCACTTTATGCTGTAGCTAACGCTACTGAATTCCTGCTTTAGCACTTAAAAAGACAGAAAATCAATATATTAAGTAACTTCTAAACGATAATATGCTCTGTAGCCCGTTTGGTCATATTCTGGAGAAGATTGTAAAAGCAGGCCTACATCAAATTCCAACCGTTAATTCTGTTGTTAATCTTAACCCCTGTGTGGTGTTGGGGTCTGTGGGACCCATTTTCAGTGTTTACCAAAAGTAAAAATGAAATGAAATGAAATTTATTATTATTTCAACCTCAGATTTCTTGGTCTTTGCTCATTTTCTGTGAAGAACATATAAAATAACCCATTTTCCGTGACTCCACTCTGTTCACCCACATTTATATTACACATGTGGTGTTGGGTGAACCTGCGGGGAATGAAAGTGTGGAGGTGCTGTGTCCTTCACTCTGTTCTCCTCCTTCATGACCTGCTGTTAGAGTGTGTGCGTCTGTGTGTGTGGACAACATGGACAGGCTGCTGACTGGCTACAGCTGCTAAAGGAGAGCCCTACGCTGGACACTTGTGATATTTTAAACATCTGGTATTTTTACATAAATTGTTGTGGCTGCATTGATTTAAACAAACAATAATGCGGTGGGTCCACCGGACCACTGAGTAACAACACATCAACACCACACAAGGGTTAAGCGAGTTTACTAAACTAAAGGAACTGGACGGACATGATTGACTGTAAAATGCTTTACATGCTGGCTGGAACAAAACAACGTCAGATTAGTCTGTCAAGTATGAATAAAACGGAGGTGAAACCTAGTATTGCGTGAGTTTTCTGGCTCTATCCAACACAAAGGGGTAGTTACTACTTTTCTTAGCAGAAAGCCAATATTAAAGCATATCTGTCTCAATGTTTGGGGCTTCTTTGCTTTACTTTTGCCCCCGAACTGTTGTATACAGAGGTAGAACGCTCCGAGTTGTGTGCTATTGCAAATAATATCATGGCTGTGAATGATCTATACAGAAGTCTTGGTTCTGGAAATCTGCCACCCTGCACATTTTAGCTTCAACCCTAATCTAACTCGACTGAATGCTTTTAAGTGTGCTAGATCTCCAGGAGCAGGGCTGAGCACCCCGATCTACTGTATTTGCCTTCAGCTTGCTCCTGTGACCAAATCACAGCCATGATGTTATTCACGATAACACACTTCCTTAAAAATCACCGCCCCCCATCATTGAGTGAAAATGCTTAGCCTGCTCAGAGACCTTTCCTGATACAAAAGTACAGAAGAGATATGCTTTACCATTCACGCTGACTGCACTCTAAGGCCCAATCCCATTTCACCCCTCGCCCCGACCACTTATCTCTACCCCTGTCTACGTCTAGGGGTAGGGTGTCCTGATTTTTGTTGAGATAGAGGGGTAGGGTGAAGTGTTAGGGCTACATGGTCCTCCAAACTGAGGTTTTTCAGAGACCAAACAGAGTGTTATGAGAAAAATAAACAAAACGGCAAGATGGCTGAACAAGAGACCAAAGAAACCCACAAATGTGAGAATTTTCTAAGTTAATAAATTACGATAACCACTGCATTGTCTTAGTTTAATGTCGTTTCAATGTATTATGGTCCTTTTCTTCATAACAGGCATTAAAAATAATCACTAATAGTGTGCTGATGTCTCGGTAGCTAGCTGGCTAAATTTCCTGTTCCACCTGAAATGGTGCAGCAGTTCTGATGCCTGAGGCCAGGTAACTGCCGCTCCATTTAAGGTGGAACGGGAAAATTCGAACAAGAAGCTGGTGAATATCTGACTTCAGCTTCATATCACTGAAGAATTAGGGGTGGGTGATAATAAATAACTGCCCCCATCTTTGAAGGCATATGATGCCCTAAATGTAACTAAAGCCCAGCAGTGAGGAGCTGAACTTTACCCTCCTCTGCTGTCACTGCAGACTGGCAGGGTCGCCTACAGAGCAGTGCGAGTAGCTGTTAATGAAGTAAAGTTCTTCTTTATTTGAGGGTTGTTCCATTTCGTAGGGGGAGATTTCAACCACTTCCCCTTGTGACTCAGTTCCAAGGGGCAAGGAGACACTCGAAAACAAGGGGTAGGGGTAGAAAAAAGAAATGGGATTGGACCTTAATGTAAAGACCTGTAGTAGAGTACTACAACTCAAATCACATTGGGTCAGATTTTTTTTGGGATTTTCGGTTCTGTAAAAGCTTGCCCAGATATGAAAGGACACATCTGTGGGCAAAGCAACAAGCTTCTATCTTCATCTCTACCCATGTTCTACCCATTTGATTCAAGCTTTTTTTCATCACAACGTGCAGACCATTCCGCTCTTCCTCCTACAGTTGTATCGGACCAAATTATCTTCCACAACAACAGTGCCTGATTCACTGCTATGTGTGCACCCAATACACAGAGGGTATCGCTGTAGAACAGTGCGGTGTATTAGCCCAGTGGTCCACTCACTGAGGGTATAGGCAGTATTGTGGGACACATCACATCATGCCCTATTTTAGAGAGCTACTACAGCCATAACATACTTCTGTAATCCCTATTGATTTCCACTGAAGCTGCTGTAACACTCACACATTCCTCTGCTTCTGGTCTTGACTAGGGCTGCAACCAAAGATTGTTTGTATAATCAATTAACCTATTGACGATGATTCAATAGTTTTGTTTGACTAAGACAGGGGTCGGCAACCCAAATTGTAGCCATTTTGTCCTTTCAACAAAAATCAAACCACCTTGTGAGCCACAACATTTTGACATATGTCTATTTTACCAATTTGGCTGTAAATATGTTTCAGTATGTGCTAATGTGCTAGTAGAGGCTAAAAAATAAAATATAAACAAAAATTTAGACTTAGTTTGCTCTGCTTTAAGCTTTAGCTCAGCTACAGCAGCTTTTCTCACATCTCCAGCAGGAAACTTAGCAAAAGTGGAAAAGTTTTTTGTAAAATGTTTCTCAACTTTTGATTTTTTTCGAGGCTGAAGTCGCTTCTCATTCGCCAGCTTGTTGTCTGAATTTTCCCGTTCCACCTTAAATGGTGCCTGAGGCTACATTATTTAAGGTGGAACGGGGGAATTCGAACAATAAGCTGCCGAATGAGAAACTGACTTCAGCTTTGTGACTTTTTAGTGTTTGATAGTTTTTGTTGCAGATTAAACGTATCAGGAAACCAGCTGGAGTGATTATAAATGCAAATAAGTCCATTCGTCTCCAAATCATCGATGTTTGTCTTAAATCTTTTTCTTTGACTTTTCGTTAGCTACTAGCTAGGCGAGACGTTGTCTGCGTTGCTATGGTGACCAGCAGTCTGTGCACCAATCTTAAAGCGTGAATTAGCAGTTATACATTAAGTCAAGCGTTTAAGATCATTTAATGTTTAAACTATGCTGAACGATCAGCAGAGCTTTATTTTACTGTAAAGGAGGATTATTTTATTTTTACCTACAAATCTAATTCTGCTGTGGAGCCACAACAGGACAGCAAAAGAGCCGCAACCAATCGTTGCAGCCATAGTCTTGACTGTTTTACTTGTGTATTACCCCCCTCACTACTCTCTCTCACACTCATACACATGCTCTCTCACGCACTCCGCCGCCTGTCTGGCCAGCCCTCCCTGTGCCCCGCAGTACCGTGTGTGCTGCTGTAAGTGACTGAGCTGCCTGAACGCCTTCTGGCAGTAGGAGCAGACGTAGGGCTTAGCGCCGCTGTGGATGCGGCTGTGCTGCGCCAGGTAGCTGGAGTTAGCGAAGGATTTGGAGCAGTGCGGACACTGGTGCGCCTTCACCTCCGTGTGAGACTTGGAGTGCAGCTGCATATCTGACTTATTGCAGAACGTCAGGCCGCACATCCGGCACCTACACACAGGAACACAGAGACACAGACACACCGGGAGAGAGAAGGATGAGGAGAGAGAGATGAGAGGAGGAGGAGGAGGAGGAGGAGGAGGAGGAAGAGAGGGAAAATGAGATGGGAAAGAGCAAGCGAAGGTGAAAGAACGAATAGACAAAAAGAAGAAGGGGTGAAAAAGGAAATGTGTGTCCATATTTAGAATGCGGTGAGATGTATGAGAGAGAGGAGAGGTAGCAGAAGAGGGTGAGGGAGAGAATGAATGAGATCAGTGAAGAAAAGATTAGAGGAAAATGGTCCATTCAGAAGTGGAATTACAAGAAGTGTAAGGGAGCGATAAGAGAACGAACACAGGAAAGGATGAGGAGAGTGCGTAAAGAGAGGGAAAGTGGAGAAAGATGAGATGAAAAGGAGCAAGTGAAGGTGAAAGAATGAATGGAGGTAGAGAAGATGAGGTAAAAAGAGAATGTGATTTAAGGGATGGGCCCATATTCAGAATGAGGTGAGACAGACAAGAGAAAAGAAAAGAAAGGGGTGGAGGGACACAGAAGGGGGAAAAACAGATAATAGTATGAGAAAGAAAGAGAGAGAGAGAGAGAGAGAGAGAGAGAGAGAGAGAGAGAGAGAGAGATCAGTGAAGAAAACAAAGTGAAATGGAAAGGGAAAGTGTGAGATATAAGGTGTCCATCCAGAAGTGGAATAAGATGTATGCGAGAGAAAAGAGAGAAAAAAGGAAAGAGTGAGGAGAGAGAGAGAAAGTAGACCAGTTTATGACAGAAAAAGGGGGGGGGAGTTATAGGGAATGTGAAAAAGTATGAGTGAGAAGACAGAAAAAGAAAAAAGGGTCAGCGGAGAGAAAGAGAGAGTGTGGATGAGATCAGAAGAAAAGAACAGAGAGAAACAGAGGAGAAAGAGAAAATGTGAGTCGTAAGGGAAGGGTCCATTCAGAATGCAATAAGAAAACGTACAATAGAGAGAAGAGAAAAAGAAAAAGGGAAGGAGTACGGAGAGGGGGAGAAGAGAAAGTGGACAAATTAATGAAGGAAAAAAACAGGGAAAATGAAAAAAGAAAAGGGTGGATGGAGGGAGAGAGTGAAGAAAAGGGGTGGAGAAGTGGGAAGGAGTATAAGAGAGAAAGAGAGAGAAGAGAAAAAAGGGAAAGAGATGGAGAGAAAGACACAAGTCCATTTAGAAATAAAATGAGAAAAGAAAAAGGAGGGAAAGGGGAAAAGAAAAGGGTGCATGAAAGGAGAGAGTGAAGAAGTGAACAGGGAAAATGGATGAAAAAGTGAGTTGAAAACAAAAATCCATTCAGATGTGGGAAAGAAGAGAAGAAGTAAAAAAAGATGGAGGGAGGGAGATGAGGGGGGAGAAAAAGTGAGTTATACAGGAAAAGTCCAATTACAAATGAAAGTATGAGAGAGGGAGGAGGAAAAAAGGTGGTAGATGGAGAGAGAGAGAGAGAGAGAGAGAGAGAAGAAAAGGAACGTGAGTTATAAGCATCCATTCAGAAGTGGGAAGAGAGCATGAGAGAGAAAGAGAGAGAAGAGAAAAAAGGGAAAGAGATGGAGGGAGAGCAGATGGAAAAGATAATGAAAGAGAAAAAAATGTCCGTTTAGAAATGAAAGGAGAAAAGAAAAAAGGCAGGAAAGGGGAAAAAAGAAAAGGGTGGATGAAAAAGTGAGTTAGAGCAAAAACCCATTTAGAAGTGGGGAAAAAAAGAAGCAAAAAAAGGTGGAGGGAGGGAGATGAGGAGGGAGATGGATAGAGAGAGGGAGGAAATGGTGAGGAAAGAGTGTAAGTTAATGAGGGGAACAACAGAGTGAAAAACGGAAAAAGCGAGTTATACAGAAAAAGTCCATTTACAAATGAAACGAAAGTATGAGGGGGGTGGTGGTTGGAGAGAGAGATAGAGTGGGATGATGATGGGATGATGATAATGAATAAATAGAGGAAGAAAAGGGAAAAAAAGAAAAGGGTGGATGGAGGGAGAGAGTGAAGAAATGAACAGGGGAAATGGATGAAAAAGTGAGTTAAACAAAAAAACCCATTCAGAAGTGGGAAAGAAGAGGAGAAATAAAAAAAAAGACGGAGGGAGATGGATAGAGAGAGAGAGGAAATGGTGAGGAGAGAGTGTCAGTTAATGAGGGAAACAACAGAGGGTGAAAAAAGGAAAAAAGTGAGTTATACGGGAAAGGTCCATTTACAAATGAAATGAAAGTACGAGGGAGGGAGGGAGGAGGAAAAAAAGATGGTAGATGGAGAGAGAGAGAGTGGGATGATAATGAATAAATAGAGAGGGAAATAAAAGAGTGCGCGTTATGGGGGACGAGTTCATTTTAGAAGTGCCATTGAAAGTAAAGGGTGAGCAGAGGAGGAGAGAGAGTGCGTAAGATATTGATGGAAACAACAGAGGACGAAAGAAGAAAAAAGCGAGTTATAAGGGAAGAGAGGAGAGGAAAAAAAAAAAGGGAAAAGGATGAGAGGAGGAGGACGGAGGGCATGAGAGAGAGAGAGAGCGAGATCAGCGAAGAAAACAAGGGAAAGGGAGAGGGAAACCGTAGACTGGCGACAAACAGAAAGATGAGAAGGAAAGGCGAGAAAGACGAGCGCAGACGGATGAAGGAGAGGAGTGAGTGAGTGAGAGAGCGAACGAGTGGAGGAGAGAGTCTGCAGCCGTGTCTGTCTGAGGGTGCGTGTTTGTGTGTAGCTGAGGTCAGCCATGCGGGCGCATGCAGCCACGTGGACGCACACAGGAGCGCTGCTTACGCTAAAGCAAAGCCACACATTCACATTCAGCACTCAGCCTACGAAGCTCAAGCATGTCTGTGTGCGTGTTGGTTGGGGAGGCCATGCATCGCTGCCGTGCGAGTGGACAATGCACAAAGGTTTCAGTCCTGCCTCTGCTAGGAGCTTTCTGGAAAAACGCACACAAAACACGCATGCTGATTTATCATCCTTCAGAGATGCCGTACCTGTACGTTTTCTCCTTCCCAGCGTGGCCTTCTTCTGCAGAGAGGTCATGGAATTCAGCAGGATGGTGCTGAGGAGAAGAATAGAGCACATTAGCTGAGATAAGACAAGGTCAACATGCAGTTATTTAGGTCTTCTGTCTCTTAAAAGCAGACAGTAACTAACTAAATGTAATTCGTTACTGTACTTAAGTAGTTTTTCGTGTATCTGTACTTTATTTCCAATTTGGGCGACTTTTTACTTTCACTCCACTACATTTCAAAGTCAAATATCTCACTTTTTACTCCACTACATTATGAGAAATCTGTCGTTCCTTTTGGTTTATGTGTGTATAAAAACATAACATGTCAAAACAAAAGAAGCGCGAATCAAGAACACCAATCAGGGCACAGCGCGCACTTTGTCCTGAGCTTGTTTTGACCTGTTGGTCATACCGACCCAGTGCAGCACACGGTTCAACATCAGTGCAGCAGCGTAAAGTTTTGGGAGTGTCTATTCAACATAAATGATGAACTAACCTAACTTTGTGTAAAAAGACCACAATATAGAAATATGTACACATATGCAGTTGTGACTGACGTGTCTTTTTTCTGAATTTATACAAACATTATTTCATTTTATAGTAAATTAGTTTTGGCTAGTTTATGTTTATGAACAGAGACCTACAGATGCAGTTTAGTAAAGGAAACTCATTTGTGAACCTGAGTTTAAAGATTTTATTAAACTTAAACTTGTAACTAATCTGCAAATAAATCTTAAAGTGAAACTTTGCTTGTTTGTAAAAAGTGATTTCAGAGCCACTCAGTTCTACCTGATGGAAACTGTTTGCCTTCAGTGTTTTGTGCTCATGATAATTTTAATAGACATCAGCGTCACTAATTAATGACATTCTATTAAAAGACTGGTTTACCAAGAGAGACACTGGAGTATTTTCATCTAAAATGAGTTAATGAAGCAGAGTCTTGTTACAAAAATGATAATAGGACATCAGAGTCATAATTAATCTTTTGGTACTTTTACTTTCGATACTTAAGTACATTTGAATGCAAGTACTTTTGTACTTTTACTCAAGTGGAGGTCTAAAGGGAGGAACTTCTACTTTTACTGGAGTAATATTTTACCTTGGGTATCTCTACTTTAACTCAAGTACATGATTTGTGTACTTTGTCCACCACTGCTTATACGTAATAGTTTGGCTTGTTAGGAATTCAGCTCATGTGGCTAACAAGGGATCAAAGCTTATACCACATAATTAAATGGTTAAGATGTAAACAGTGTTGTTTGGGGTGGTTTGATGTGAAATGCAGCATCCTAAAGAAATCGGTCGTTCACAACGTTGGTGATAGGAACCAGACGTCCAAAGCCTCTAAAGGCTACATCACAGGAAGCTACTACATGAAAGAAGACATTAACGGTGGAGAGATACTTACAAAGTGTTGTAAGGCAAATCTATGACTATTTAACCACCATCAACATTACATAATAAACCTCAGAAGACATGTGTAGGTTCAACTGGTGGTTCTAGATAGTAAATAAAAAGTCTATATGAGGCAGTGTGACCCTGGTTCCAATCACCACCACTGTAAAGAAAATCAAAGTCGATAAGATTTGCTATTAATTAACCATTCTGTTCACATCTTAATGATTCAATTATGCAGAAATTCAGACAAAATATAGGCTTGAGGTGTGATTTATTATAAAAATCACAGTCTGGAAACTGGATTAAAGATCCAAATTTCTAAATCCAAGACCTTTGATCTAGGCCTTCATATGTAACATTTACTGTGTGTGCAAGCTGTGGCAAAACCAATGGGTTTCCATCAGCTGTAAAAACGAAGGCTATTTACTGAAATGTCACTGTAAAACTGCTACATACAAGGTAAAATATAATGTTAAAATGTCTTTAAATGTTCATGTTTTAGAACAGCCCAAAAAAGTTAGCTTAGTGCTAACATACTATTAGAATGTCATAGGGGTTTCTATAATTACCATTATCATATACACCGATCAGGCACAACATTATCCTTGTTTCTGCGCTCATTGTCCATTTTATCAGCTCCACTTACTATATAGGTGCACTTTGTAGTTCTACAGTTACAGACTGTAGTCCATCTGTTTCTCTGCATACTTTGTTAGCCCCCTTTTACCCTGTTCTTCAGTGGTCAGGACCCCCATGGACCCTCACAGAGCAGGTACTATTTGGGTGGTGGATCATTCTCAGCACTGCAGTAACACTGACGTGGTGGCGGTGTGTTAGTGTGTCTTGTGCTGGTCTGAGTGGATCAGACACAGCAGCGCTGCTGGAGCTTTTAAACACCTCAGTGTCACTGCTGGACTGAGAATAGTCCACCAACCAAAAATATCCAGCCAACAGCATCCTGTGGGCAGCGTCCGGTGACCACTGGTGAAGGACTAGAGGATGATTAGCTCATACTGTACAGCAAGAGATGAGCTATTGTCTCTGGCTTTACATCTACAGGCTGGATCAACAACGCAGGTGCATCTAATAGAGTGGACAGTGAGTGGACACAGTGTTTAAAAACTCCAGCAGCTCTGCTGTGTCTGATCCACTCGTACCCGTGCAACACACACTAACACACCACCACCACATCAGTGTTACTGCAGTGCTGAGAATGATCCACCACCCAAATAGTACCTGCTCTGTGAGGGTCCATGGGGGTCCTGACCACTGAAGAACAGGGTAAAAGGGGGCTAACAAAGTATGCAGAGAAACAGATGGACTACAGTCTGTAACTGTAGAACTACAAAGTGCACCTATATAGTAAGTGGAGCTGATAAAATGGACAATGAGCGTAGAAACAAGGAGGTGGTCTTGATGTTATGCCTGATCTATGTATGTGTTTTTGACTGAGTTTTGTTATTTAGCTCTAAGAGTCATGGTTCGCTACTACATGATATGCAGCACAATATTTAGTTTGATAAGTTGGAGCAAACAAAAAACAACCGGTAGTACCATATTAAAAATACTATCCAGACCTATGAATACAGTAATTTTAGCCAACATTACACACACTGCACTAAATCCAATTAGACAGACTCTTTGTAATGAAACAAGCAGTTAGTTAGTGAGTCCTGACAAAATCCATGATACGCTCAGAAAAGCATAGTATGACATGTTATATAATTCATCACAATAACGATAAGCACCACCATATTGCCCCCCCATACATGCACAGCACAGTCATGAGACACAACCTGTATGTGTGTATGTATGTGTTCCTGTCTCAGAGAGGTACCTGTCCAGGCAGATGACTAAGCATCAGTGTGTCACTTCCTGTGGCTGAGCCCATCAGCGGTATGGTCGATTTCTTCTTCCTGCCTCGTTTCGATGGTATCGGTATGACAACAGGGGGGCAGGACACGGCCTCCTCTTTCTTATCCGCTGCAAGTGTTGAAAAATATTCAGTTTTAATATTGGTAAGTGTATCTATCTGCTGCATGTGTAGGGCATAGTTGATTATCACAGAGCATGATTTCAATACGTATCACTGTTTCTAGAAAAGAATCGAAACCCTGTCGGCTTTATAATATAAGCCAGTTGATGAATGCTGCTGGTGAAGGGCTGTTTGAAATGCACCCTCACCTAAATTTGAAACGACAGCTGTTTACTCTAACAGTACAGCCGTTATGATGCAACAGACCATGATGTTTTTAGGATTTATTATTATTGTTATTAATAATTATTAAATAATTATGACACATAGGCTACACTTTGTACCACGAAATCCAACATCAGAGAATGGCTGGTCATCCAAGTCAAAAAATTCAATAGATTTTCATTCATACTTTGCACTTTGGCTGTTGTTTGTGAATTTTTTTTTCATTTTAAAACCTGAGGCTAGCGATGGCCTTGCCATGATGGCAGGAGCTTTCCTTCCTGTGCTGTATTCTGCATATTGAGAGGGGTGTCGTGTTTAATTGAAATAAAATCTACAGTGAAGTTCTTGGGTGCTCTACCTCCTCCTGATACTCAACATGAACACTTATCACAAATCGCTTGTCTAACAAACCTTTCGTAGAAACTGTAAAATAGTTCCACATGGCCAACATTTTCAGTGTTGATCTGCTGCCGCTCAAACTGTTTGAACGTGTCTGTGAAGTTGCGGCTAAAGTTAGCTTTGTATTCTCTAGCTCAGGAGTCGGCAACATGCGGCTCTTTTACTGCCCTGTTGCGGCTCCACAGCAGAATTAGATCTTTAGGTAAAAATAAAATAATCCTCCTTTACAGTAAAATAAAGCTCTGCTGATCATTCAACACAGTTTTAACAATAAATGGTCTTAATCACTGGAATTAATGTAGCCTAGAACTGCTAATTCACCAACCCTGAGGATTGCCGTGCAGACTGTTGGTCTTGCCTGGCTAGTAGCTAACGAAAAGCCAAAGTGAAAGATTTACATCAATAATTTGGAGAAGCATGGACTTTTTTGCATTTATAAGCACTCAGCTGGATTCCTAATACGTTTAATCTGAAGTCAGCTTCTTGTTCGAATGATCTCGTTCCGCCTTAAATGGTGCAGCAGTTGCATTTAAGGTGCAACAGAAACATTCTAACAAGAAGCTGGAGAATGAGAAGCTGATTTCAGCCTTGTAAAAAAGCGAATGCTGAGAGACATTTTACAAGACGCTGTTCTACTTTTGTGGAAAAGTTTCCTGTCAGAGAAGCGAGAATAGCAGCTATAGCTGAGCTAAAGCTTAAAGCAGAGCAAAGTCTGCATTTTCAATTATATTACTTTTTTTAATCTATACTAGGACATAAGGTAGCACATATAAAAACATATTTTTACTTAAATAAAATGGACACAAAATGTTGAGGCTCCCAAGGTGGTTTGATTTTGGTTGAAAGGACAAAATGGCCCCTCTTAACATTTGAGTTGCTGACCCCTGTGCTAGCTTCTTATTATATTTTTCTGTTCCACCTTAAAAGGTGTGGCGGTTACATTCTAGAGCCTGTAAGCACTAGAATGTAACCGCCACACCATTTAAGGTGGATTGGAAAATTCAGATAAGAAGCGAACAGTCATATCAGCTGTGTGGAAAGTTTTAGATTTTGACACAGTAGGACTATTTATCGATTTTTTGGTCAAATTTTGTTGTTTTCTTGAACCAAATGTGCTATTTTTTGCCATCTTTTCAGACAGAAACATTCACGTGAATAAACAGGCTTACTGTTCTTTTCAAAGTACAAATAACTATTGTTTGTGGTGATCAGCTATGCGCCCCAGATGCAGTAGACAGAGATTAGGCTTAAAATTTGCTGGACTGATCCAATAACCCATCAAATGGCTCCAGCAATGTAAAGCTCAGAGGCCACTGACCAGCAATGTGGGTTGTTTTCCAGGTTATTACTGATTTGTTAAGGAGGCTTTGGCAGCGCATTACCTGTGTGTAACGTTATCATCGTAGTCGTAGGATGTCCAGGGATGAGAGACGGGGCGGAGGAAACCGGAGAGACCAGAGTGACCAAACCCGCTGGACAGAGGGAGAAAGTGAAAGATAAGAGTGAAACACAGGGTGGTGGACAGAGGCAGTGAAATAGGTCTCAGCAGTTATACTTTCACTAAGGGCTGAAAGATTAATCGTTTTTAAATCGAAATCGCAATTTGGACGAGTGCAATTTTCAAATCGCAGGAGCTGCAATTTTTATTATAGGCTTACAGTCTGTTGTCAACAACGTTGATATGATGCAAGTTGTAAGTAGGGAAATTTTACCTAATAACATGGAGCTTGTGAACTCCTTTGACATCATGACCGCAAATAACCGGCATGCTGGCGCACTTTCAGTTTAGGTCTCAAGCCAGAAAGAATATATTGCTGTTGTCGGGACAAAACCTCGTATCTCCATTTTTGTCATTTTTCATTTTTTGACATAGTTGGAAAAAGGCAGCTGCCCTTTACGTTGTGTAATTCCATGACGAATGGACCAAGAGAAGTGGTCCAAAATTACTTGGAAAAAATTATTTCTCCATTTACTTCAATATGAAGTTAAGAACATTTTTCAGTCTCCTGTAAAGTTACCTTTTTGGAGATACGAGGTTTTGTTCTGACAGCAGCGATATGCTGGTCTTTTTACCCAAAAAAGGCCCATACCTCAATATATACCTCATTTTTAAACAACTGCAATTAAAATCGTAATCGCAATATTGGTCAGAAAAATCACAATTCGAAATTTTGCCAAAATCGTTCAGCCCTACTTTCACTAATGACTTATAGTCGTGAGAGCTCGTGCGGTAGTTTCTAGCAATTGTGGCTCTTCCTACTAGATCTGTACAATATTATTGTTAACTGCTGCTGTGATATATACCTTTGAAATATTGGCATCATAGAGAGCAATATGGAAATACGTCTCCAACAAATGACATTTTTTGTGTGCTGTGATCTTTGACCTTTCTGACCAACCCCTGCATTTCTGTGGCTGTTTTGATGAATTTAAATGATGCGAGAAATTTGGTCAAAATAATGCAGGCCAATCTTTAACCCTGCCATCACCAGTGTTTTTAATACACTGCTAGGCATTTTGTAATCACAATATGTAGCAATATAATTACAGTATGGTATGTGGTATAGGTACCATAATACAGCTGTTTTAAGTCAGCAAAAATATTAAACTACTGCCTTAACTGTCCCTTTAAATTTACATGTATTACTAATGATAATGAGCTGGGCAAATGGTTGACCATTTTTTTGGTTGTTTTTCAAATATCCCAACAACACCATCTATACCAATGATGTCTAGGTCTCCTCCTGGAGCTCTGCCCTCTTACTGTGTTTCATTACAACCCCCAAAAGTAGGCCTGAATGATGTGGGGAAAATATCTAATGGTGATTTTCTGACTAATATTGCAACTGCAATTTAAATTACGATTATTTTCTATAAATTAAGGTTCAGGCTTTTTTGCCAAAAAGACCAGAATATCCATTTTTTCTAGCTTGAGGCTTGACCCCTGAATGTAGTGTGCCAAAAGACAATGTTTTTTGATAATGCAGGCTATAATTTTATTTTTTGTTAAATTGCAGCTCTTGCGATTTGAAAACTGCACTCTCTTGAACTGCGATTACAAAAGTACCAGTTATTCATTTTTCAGCGTCAAAAAACATTTAACAGAAGCCTCAACAACTCAATATAATATAAAATTTTTCAGTGTTCAGTGTGTCCACTCTTTACATTTATTACCCCGTAATATTTTTATTATTTTTTTCCCCGTTTTGTATTCTAATATTTTATACTAATGCTGTTTGCTATCTGGTGTCAACCAGAGGAGGATGGGCTCCCCTTTTGAGTCTTGGTTCCTCTCAAGGTTTCTTCCTCTACTTAGGGAGTTTTTTTCTTGCCACTGTCGCCATTGGCAACACTCATGGGCGCTCGGACCTGGATTTTTTTTTCTGTAAAGCTGCTTTGTGACGACACCTGTTGTAAAAAGCGCTATATAAATAAACTTTAACTTTGATTACAGCTTCCATTCTTTTTTTTAGAAGACTTGCTTTCAGTTTCTCAAAGCAACCTGCAGGGATATTTTTCCACTTCTCCAAAGTCTCTGAAGTTGGTTGCATTTTCGGCATCTAATCCCAATTACAAATTTGGACTCATCAGGCCATAAAACCTCTCTCCACATCTCAGATGTCCACTTTCAGTGCTCCAGTACAAAATTTCTTCCCTTTTCTCAGTGAGGTTCTTCTTGATCAGCTACACATCCTTTCAGACCCACAGCGCTGAGTCGTCTTCTCACAGTGGAAGGATGGACAGAAACACCTGTGGATGTATTCAGATCTGAAGCAGCTTGATTTTCTCCTCTCTCTCAAAGATGAAAGCTTTAAGTGCTGTTTATCTGATGGGGGCAGTTTTGGTGTCGACCAGCTCTTCCAGGCTTTTAATCACTTTTTGAACTCAAGTTTTGGAAACTCCTTTTCTTTCCACCAATAATTTCCACTCTGACTTTCTCCTTCTTATATTTCTTATATTATATATGAGATTTTATATCTATTCTCATTAGAAATATCTGTTAAAAAGGCCATTTTGACTAGAAATGTAATAAATGGAGGGGGGCCTCTGATACAGCGTAGTATTGTATTCATACTTATTTATGACACGGATGTGCACTATGGGCCAAACCTATGACAACAAAAAGTGATGTTATTTAAGTATCTTAAAAAGTCTATTGAAAAATCTTTTAATTGATATCTAGTGTATGTAAATACTTCTATAAATTACTTACAGATGCAGGTGCTATTTTCTCTGAAGCTTTTAATCATTTTTTGAACTCCAGCAGCACTGCTGTGTCTGATCCACTCGTACCAGCACAACACATACTCTGCAGTGCTGAGAATGAACCACCACCCACATTATACCTGCTCTGTGGTGGTCCTGTGGGGGTCCTGACCACTGAAGAACAGGGTAACAAAGTATGCAGAGAAACAGATGGACTCCAGTCTGTAACCGCAGAACTACAAAGTGCACCTATATAGTAAGTGGAGCTGATAAAATGGACAGTGAGTGTAGAAACAAAGGTTTTAATGTTCTGACTGATTGGTGAACTCTAAACTCTAAACTCTCCCGGGCGTTAGATCTCCAGGACCTGAACTGCTGACCCCTGGTGTAAACAATACCTGCTGTCATGATTCCAGTAGACGGAACTGGTAGCACGGTGATGCTGTGAGAGGACTGGGGTGGATGCGGCTGTTCCTGTTTCAGTGCCCGACCGCTGGCCACTGTGTCCATGGCAACGCCGCCGGTGACCGCCACCACCGCTGTGGTGGGGTAGTGGGTGGAGCCATGCGGGTAGGCGGGGTTTTTGTCCTGTCCCAGCTGCTCTTTGACCTTGTTTAGAAACACAGCATTCTCAATCTGAATTGAGAATACACACGCACCACAAACACACACAAACAGCCTTAACGGAAACATGCTGGTATTGTGTTGAACATCACTCACTATCAAGAATGGACTTTTCTGTGGCTTGAAATGCAACACGTTCTTACCTGTCCTTGCACTGGGGACCAGAAGTAGGAGTTAAAATGGGAGTCCTCCATCATTCCTGCATTAAACAAGACAAAAGTGTGGTAAGAGAAACAACCCATCATCGTTTCACTAGGCATATATGAGGTATTAACAAAATTCAATGTCACAATATTCTCCATATGTGATATTTAAAGGGAAATGCCACCATTTTTGTGGAGTGTGTGTACAATTCAGTCATTTAGATGCAGACACAGTCATCCAGAGTGGTTTGATTTGGTGGTCATTGTACAGCGGTGATCACCAACCCTCCACCTTTCACCTCCAACCCCAATCTAACACACCTCCTTCAGCTAATCGAGGATTTCTGAAGGCAATAATTACGTGGGGTTGATTAGAATTGGAGGTGAAGATCTCCAGGAGCAGCGTTGGTGACCACTGTTGTAGAGAAACTTACCAACTCATTTCTTTACAGTGGTGGTGATAGGAACCAGGAGTCACCATGTCAACAACACAAATGCAGCCATTTCATTTACTATCCAAAACCACCAGTGAATGTAATGTTGATGATGGAAAAATAATCATAAATATGAAAAAATAAGTTTTCTTTTGGGGAAAATCACTACAGCACAAAAGCATATAATATTTAATGTAATAACTTCAGATGTCTGGTTCCCATCACCACCACTGTGAACAATTATGACTCAAAAATGAGGCATTCCACATCAAGCTAGTCTAAATAACTTAACAATTGACTAATGGAGAAATTTTGAACAATTGGTGGAATTCCCCTTCAGGGAAGGGGGACTAACAGAGTTAATGAACTCCTGCTTCCTGTGTGCTGCTACTCTATGCGAAATGAATGACTTGCATCTGAAATAGCATGTTTGGACTGGACTGATCGCTTGCTGTTTTTTTTTTAAAATGACAGTGAACCTTACATGATATTGTAAAGGTTAACCAGGCAGACAGCAGATTAACCAGAAAGAAAACTTGCAATTTATACAATAACTTTCATTTTTATCAATTTCAAACTGCTCTTTGAGTGTGAATAGTCTGAAGCACCCACACTACAACATATGTTGTGCTTAAAGGGGAATTCCATCCATTTTTAATTTAAACTCCTGCATAATTCAGCCTTTACAATGTAAAGAAAGTCATTCAGAGTGGTTTCATGCGAAATATTTCATTGTAGTAACTTACCGACTGATTTTCTTTACAGTGGTGGTGAATGGAATCAGGGCTCTCAATGTCTACAACACAAATAAAGCCATTTTATTTACTATCCAAAACCAAAATAGTGAATAACCTGAAAAAATAAGTTTTCTTTTGGGACTATTTTGCCTTATAACACCCTGTATTTACCTCTCCACCATGAACGGATTAAAAAAATACATTATAGCCCAAATGCTTGTGTCAAAACTATGGTAATACAATGCGTCAGGCATTAGGAAGCACTTTTGTAACCGTTTAACTGGATAAATTCATGTGAGGGAGCTTTTAGAGGCATTTGGACGTCTGGTTCCTATCACCACTGTTGTGTACGGTTCCGAATCCGTAAGTATATCTAGAACTGCACATTTTATATAAAACACTAAGCGCCTTCATTCACATCTTATACATTTCACTGTTCAGAAATTTTGAAAAATCAGTGGGATTCTCCTTTAACTGCTAGAACATATTCACATGTAAAGCACCTAAACAAAGGGGGGAAAAATTAAGACAGACCGTTTGGCAACAGGGACCCCATTATTTCATGGACAACATTGCAAATAATAATGTAAGCCAAAAATAATTCCAAAAATGCAAAAATTCACTAAAAGTGAAAAACAATAACGGTATGAAAGTATAGAGAGAATCAGCTGACTCAAAAATACACCTGCATTTGTGCTGGAAGTGGAACAGAAACGAAGGCTAACAGGGGAATGCCATCAATTTTTCAAATTTTCTGAATAATTCATTCCTAGAGACGTAAACAAAGACATTCAGAGTAAATTGATGCAAAATGCCATTGTTTATTGTAGAGAAACTTACTGACTCAGACTTCTTTACAGTGGTGGTGACAGGGTGACAGGAACCAGGGGTCGCCATGTATACAACACTAAAATATTTTACCCTTTTATTTACTGTCCGAAACCACCGTAAACCTACTCGAGTTTTTTTATATGTAATGTTAATGAAGGTAAAATAGTCATAAATCTGAAAAAAAAAAGTTTTGTGGGGACTATTTTGCCTTACAACACCCCGCATACACCCGTCCACCATGAATAGGTCAAAACAAGGGGATTACAATACAGTTTAAGCCAAAACTTCATCACAAAACTATCATAAAACAATGTGTCAGACATCGGGCAGCACATATCTAACCGTTTCATGTAGTAACTTTCTGTGAGGGAGCTTTTAGAGGTGGACGTCTGGTTCCTATCACCACCACTGTGAACAGTTCTGACTCATTACGTTTCTCTAGAAAGGAGCATTTCACACCAAACCAATCTGAAGGGCTTTGTTTACATCTCAACCATTTAATTATGCAGAATTATTGAAAAATCGGTGGGGTTCTCCTTTAACCAAGCAACGCCATACTGAAACAAGCATTCAGGTTTAAAAAATTGCTAAGAAAATCAAATATATCCTCTGGTAGGGCTGCAGGAATGACCGTGGTAGGCCAACAGGACAGTTTACCAGGCTAAAAGGCTCTGTATCCGTGTTAGTTTCCCACCCAGACATCTATATTTCACTATAATAATGAATATTCACCTTCAGTTTATTGTTTTTACGCCATTAATTTGACCGTTACTGCTCCAAACAGCCTGCTGTCGTTTCTAGTTTGGCGGGCTCAGCGAGCAGAGCTCAAAAAACACCCTTTTTTCCGAGTTAAGCCGGGCAAAATGTGGTATAAAAAGAAGAATAAGGTGTTTTGGTTTGCTTTTAAATTGGTTCATGGATCACTAAAGAGAGCAAGACTGTAAAACATCGGTTTATTTCTTCGTCTCGGTCGTTGACTCGGTGATGTGTCCACGGCGTGTCGTGTTAAACGTTCAAGCCGTTAAAGCTCAATAGAAGCTCTCCGCTGCCGAAGAGTCCGCGGAGGAAAAAAAAGCAGGGAGGAAAAAAAAGGAAAATAGTCGAGGTTGAGGAAAAAAAAAAGAACAAGTGAGGTGAAAAAAATAAAAAAAAAACGTCGACGCTGAAACCGAGGCTTTACGCAGACTTCCGGCACGAAGGAGGGAGAGAGAGAGAGAAAGAGAGAGAGAGAGATATAGAGGGAGAGGTTAAAAGGGGAGAGAGATAGGGAAAAGAGTGGGAGAGCGAGTGAGAGAGAAAAAAGGAAAGAGAGAGAGCGAAGGAGAGAAAGAGAGAGGGGCGACAGCTGCAAGAGAAAAAAAACAAGCTAGGAAAAAAAAATCAGGCCTAAAATTACCGGTGGCGCTCCCTCCCCCGGGGATCCCCTCCGCTTTCCGAAGAAATAGGTCCGAAAGCGCTCAGCTGAGCCGATTCGACCCGTTTTCGGCTCTTCGATTTTTTCTCTTATTTTCTTTTTTTTTTTTCTTTTCTTACGGAGTTGCCCGAACTGTCTGGGCTCGGACTTCCTGCCAGTGAGGTCGAAAGCCTTCCGAGCGTCACGACGTCACTTCCCCCCTCAAGTAAGGTCAAATTACACCAGCGCTGAAACAAAGTCTGAGTGGAGTCGACTCCTCTTCTCCTCTAAACACATAAAATAACGCTCATTTTGGCGATTTCGACACCCCGGTGCTCGGAATTTGCCCTTTTAATAACACCGAGAAGAAGCCACGTTTCCGTTTCCTTTTTCATGACAATGGATCAATGAGTAAATTAGCAAGATGGCAGCAAAATATATAAATAAATAAATAAATGTGGGATACGTGTAATAAAAAATACGAGTACAAAATATTTACATTTAAAAATAATATATTCACGACAATGGTATTGGTAAATAAATAAAGCTGTTAATTAAGCTAATAATGGCAAGGAATTAACTGCTCAAATTTTCTCAAAAATGGAATGGGAGAATTTGTTGTTTTTTGTGTGAATAAAATGCTTTGCAGATAAATAAAATAAATAAATAACAAGAGATTCAGGAGCCCAATTAGAATTTGGGAACTAAGTAGCCTACGTTTCACGTGACAGTTGCTCAGTTGCTGACTCTCACTGATTTATTTATTTATTTACCTATTTACCTTAGAAGACAGGTTTGTTATTACAGTCATATGAACAGGATTCTAATAAGATTTGGATTTGCATATTTTATCATAATAAATTATCTTAGTAGATGGAGTTGCTAGATCTTTTTTTTAGTAATAAACTTGGATAAAAAATTGATGAAGTTGGGTACCTTGGTTATAAAAGTGTATGTTTTGCTACCTTAATTAGAGTAAAGATAGGAATAGTATTTAAATTGTAATAATAATGATAATATTATTATTATTATCATTATAATTAGTACAATTGTAATACCATTATAATAACTTACAATAGTTAATAAAGGTTGTAACTATGTAATACAAAATTTATTTAAAATAAGCTATAATTGTGTGTAGAATTGTTTGTCTACTTTTTTAACCTGGATGCACAAACATGAATGAGTCTCAGAGTGTATTAATAATACTATTTAACAGGTTTAAAAATAATTAAAAAAAAATACATTTATTCTGCAGACGGTGGAAAAGGTCGCCATGGAGATATGCACCAGCATCCGGTGAGGTCATTTACGCTGCCGTGGATTTCCGGTGAGGTCGTGTTTACACGTTTACAGTCCGAGCGCGTCAAGCGGAGGATTTATGGAGACCAACTTCATCAGCATTTAGAGCCTAAATCTGTGGAAAACCACTACAGTACCAGTTAAAAGTCAGAAACGACCCTAAAGCATGACATATATGACAAGAGCGCAGTGATAAAGTGAAGAGCAGCCGTTTCAGTGTGAGTTTAGGAGGAGGGGTGATTCGCTGAACTGAGGCTTTCAGATGGGGGAGGTGAGGAAACTGCAGAAGAAGTTGAGGCAGATTGAGAACCTGGAAATCAAAGTTTCCCTGACTCCAGAAGAGAGAGTAAAGGTACAGACCCCAACTGCGTCTTCCTCTCGTTAAAAAAAAAAGATGAAGCGGAAGGCAGCTTCATATTCGCCAGCTTGTTGTTCGAATTGTCCCGTTCCACCTTAAATGGTGCAGCAGTTACATGTAACGTCTGCACCATTTAAGGTGGAACGGAACTATTCGTACAAGAAGCTGGCGAAAGGAAAACCGACTTGTTTTGATCATAATGATGCTTCTGGCTCAGACTCTGTGTAACTAGCGCCCATGTCCATGACATAAGACCAAATCCTGTTTCTGTCTCTCCTCATCGGCCCTGTAATACTTTCTCACGTAATTAGAAGCTGAAACGCTCTTTTCTTTCACTAATTGTATTTTTCACAAAGTGGACTGACTGCTTACAGCTGCAGGCCATTCCGCCTTGTTTTATTAGTCTTATTACAGCTTTCCGAGGTAAATGAAACCAACAGAACTCTTAATTATTCTTCTCAACATGAGCTCTAATGATTCTGCTTAATTCAGTCACTGCACTTTTATGTGGTCTCCCTCAGTTTAGTGCATGGAGAGGTCATAATTCACACTCTCCACTCTTTCAATGTCTCTCTCTCTCTCTCTCTCTCTCTCACTCACTCCCTCCCTCCCTCTGTTCTTTTCTGTTTCCCTTCCTCTGTCTCTCCTCCCACTCTTTCAAACTCTTTCTCTCTCGCTCTCTCCTTCATCCCCACTCTTTCATTCTCTCGCTCTCTCTCTTTTTCTCCATCCCCACTCTCTTTGTCCTCTCTTTCAATGTCTCTTTCTCTCTCTCGCTCTCTCTCCTTCATCCCGCCCCTCTTTCATTCTCTCTCCTCACTCTCTGTCTCTTTCTCTATCCCCACTCTCTCTCTCTCTCTCTCTCACCATTCTTTCAATGTCTCTCTCTCTCTCTCTCTCTCACCATTCTTTCAATGTCTCTCTCTCTCTCTCTCACCATTCTTTCAATGTCTCTCTCTCTCTCTCTCTCTCTCTCGCTCACTCCTTTCCTCCCTCTGTTCTTTCATTTTCTCCCCAATTTTCACTGTCTTCCCCTTCCTCTGTCTCTCATTCTCATTCTCTCTCCTCACTCTCTCTCTTTCTCCATCCCCACTCTTTCTCTCTCTCTCACCATTCTTTCAATGTCTATCTCTCTTTTTCTCTCTCTTGCTCTCTCCTTTTCTTCATCCCCACTCTTTCATTCTCTTTCCCTCTCTTTCTCCATCCCCACTCTTTCTCTCTCTCGCTCTCTTTTCCTCCATCCCCACTCTTTCATTCTCTCTCTTCTCACTTTTTCAACGTCTCTCTCTCTCATTCTCTCTCTCTCTCTCTCTCTCTCTCTCTCAAGGTCTCGAAGAAGGCGGAGCTTCGCAGCAGATTGGCTGAGCTGCTGCTGCAGCTTTCTGGCCCCCAGCAAACCCACTGCATTGTGGGAGAAGAGGAGGATAAAATGAAAAGACAAGTGTAAGAATGAGAGTCGGGGGAGAGAAAGAAAGAGAGAGAGAATGAGAGAGTGAGTGAGGGTCAGGAGCGTGTGAATCGCAGCTCAGTGTGCCCGCAGCTATTCCGCCGTTCTCTCTCTCTAGTCTAGCTGGTATTGATTGGACACAGTCACGCATCTTTAACGGCACTGTACCTTCCTCCACCTCTCTCAGCGTCACTCCATCAGCGCTCAGCGGTGGACGTGTAATAGCAAAGTTATGTAGCCGTTTCTCACGATTGACACCTTCGCCAGATCCATCATGTACAGACAGAGCAGTTAGTGGTGAAATCATATTTACTGAATCATATTGAATCTTGGTGAAAATTGCGATTTTATGATTCATTGAATCATTTTTGTGCATGTTGAATTGTACCCAAAGACTCAAATCAAACAGATTTTTTGTGAAATTTGAGTTTTTTTATGCACTGAGTTAGCTTAGTGCATTTTTGATCTAAGAGAATCTAATCAAATCGACTTTTGGTGAAATTGGAGATTAAGATTCATTAAATTCATTTTGATTTAATTGATTCAGTCCATTTTGCATTGTGCCAAATGAATCAAATCAAATTGATTTGTGGCGTAATTTGCAATTTGACGATGCATTTCTGTTCATTTTGAATTGAGCAAAGAAGAATCAAATGAATCAAACTAAACTGTGGTAACATTTGAAATGTCATTTTCATTATTCACTAAATCATTTCAGTGTATTTTGTATTGAATCAATTTGAATTTTGGTGAAATTGGAGATTTCAGGATTCATTGAATTAATTTTGATTCAGTTGATTCAGTCCATTTTGAATTGTGCCAAAAGAATCAAATCAAATCGATTTGTGGTGTAATTTGAAGTTTGATGATGCATTTCAGCGCAGTTTGAATTGAACAAAAAAGAATCAAAAGAATCAAATTAGATTGTGGTGAAATTTGCGATGTCATACTGAATTGAATCGTTTCAGTGCATTTTGAATTTTACTGAAAGAATCAAATCGAATCACAGTAAAAATGTAATTTTTCATTATTCACTGAATCATTTCGGTGTATTTTGAATTGTACCTAAAGAATGGCGCTACAGTGTGAGCTTTATTGATTCATTGATTCATCTTATTTTGAATTGTATTGAATGAATCAAATTGAATCAAGTGCTGGTGAAATTCGAGATTGATTTATTTATTTTTTTAAAGAACTGATTAGTTGTGATGTTAGAGATTTACACCCCTGGTAGCAGTGGTTGCTGATGTTTGTTGTTGTTGTTGTTGCTGTTGTTGTTGTGGCTGCAGGGAGGATGCAGCAGAGCATCACAGAGGTCACACTCCAGCAGTGAAGGTGGCACGTGAAGATGACCACCAGAAAAAGGAAAGTAGAGAAGACGGCGGGAAGAAGAGAGAAAGCGGAGGACAAACACAGAACATCTCAGACAGCCCTGGACCACCAGACCCAGGTCACACACACACACACACACACACGCACACACTTTCAAGCTAGGTACGCCGGTAGCTCACTCGGGGGCGTCCATCTCCGGTTCCGGAGCTGGACGTGTAATTAAAATTTGACTGTGGGCCATTCCGTTTCTCTCTTACTTCTGGAGTTAAAAACAGAAGTGGCCTGAGGCCTGACGTAGGTTAACCCCTTAAACCATCAGCTTATTATTCAGTCGTTAATATTAATGTGATCAATAACCCCAAAATCAAATTCACGCAGTTGTCCCACTTAACCCAAATTTAGCCCGTCAGCTGCATGGCTAATGTAGTGAAGGAAGCTTATAGCCACCAGGTT